CTTCAAACACCCCGGACAAGCCCCCAGACGTGGGTGGACTTGAACTGGGTCGATTGAAGAGGATGTTGAAGTCCATGGTTGGACGGAAAGTAGAGAGAGCGTTCTTGGCTCAGGAGGTGGAGATCAACGCGGTCGAGCTGGAGCAGATCACCAAGCTGTGCGTGGAGATGGGCGCTGTTGATATCATGGAGATCTACAGCCCGAAGCGGTTCACGGCCCAAGCCGGGCAGTATGGCTTGAGGCCGGGCTTTGCGGTAGACCTTGAGGAGCAGAAACCGGACGGTTCCTACTGGGATCTCAGCAAGACTGAGGACGTCCGAGAGCTCGAGGAGTATGTGGACGAGGTCGAGCCGACATTGCTCACAGGGAGCCCACCTTGTGACCAATTCTCCCAGCTCCAGAACATCAACAAGTACAGGGTGAGCCCAGACAAGAGGCGCGAGAAGATGGATAGAGCAGTTGCTCATTTGCATACCGCCTGTAGGTTCTACAGGAAGCAGTTGCAGGCAGGTAGGTTCTTCTTGCATGAGGCACCGTGGAGTGCTACCTCTTGGAAAGACCCGGAGGTCCGTGAGCTCACTGAGAGACCGGACGTGTACACTGTCCGAGGCCCAATGTGCAGATGGGCTATGGTCGCTACGGACCGGAGGGGTTTGCAGGGCACAGGATATGTGCGGAAAGAAACTGGCTGGATGACCAACCATCCAGGTTTGGCCCAACTGTTGGAGGGCGAATGCACCAACAATGTGCCGGGGAAACCATGGCACCGGCACATCCACCTGATCGGAGGACTCGCTAGACCGGCGGCCCGTTATCCGCCAGCGCTAGTGCGAGCGGTCCTGAAGACTTTGAAGAGCCACCTTGTAGAGAGTGGCCAGTTGAGTGCATTGGACGCAGCAGTTGCAGGTCCAATCCCAGAGGAGAGCTTCGTGACGCCGGAAGACGTGGAGCAGTACTGGGACGACGTGAATGGTGGGTTTTTGCCACCAGACCGAGTCAGGGAGGCACGTCAGCTCGAGTTGGACTATCTTAGGAAGCAAGAGGTTTACGAGAAGGTGCCGCTCGAGGAATGCCTCAGAGAGACCAACGGGAAGGGTCCAATCACCACCCGTTGGATAGACACCAACAAGGGAGACCCCGCCAATCCCAACTTCAGGTCGAGATTGGTGGTCCGGGAGATCAAGGCCCGGAAGAGTCCAGAGGAAAGGATTCCTCAGAACATGCTGTTTTCGTCAACACCGCCTTTAGAGGCTATGAGGCTGCTATGTAGCCTATGGGCCACTGAGCGTGTATCCCATGGAGGACGACCACTCAAGATCGGACTTTGGGATATATCAAGAGCCCACTTCTATGGCGTACCCAAACGCCGCATATACATCCAGTTGCCGGACGAGGACGCCAGTCCGGGAACGGTGGGTCGTTTGACTAAGTCGATGTACGGGACACAGGATGCCCCTAACATATGGCAGCAGCACTACACACAGCTGTTGATCAAAGCCGGATATCTCCGGGGAAAGTCAAATGGCTCAGTGTTCTATCACCCGACACTGGGAATAAGAGTGCTGGTGCACGGAGATGATTTCATGGCGTTAGGAGACGCCGAGGCGCTGAAGGAAGTAGATACTTTGCTTCGCAGTGCCTACGAGTTGAAATGGCTCGGGACGATAGGTGATGAGGAAGGAGACCACAAGGAGGTCCACTTTCTCAACCGGCTCATTCGTTGTGAACAACATCAAGGAGCGAGTGCGATCCTGATCGAGCCAGATCGACGCCATGTTGATTTGCTTGTGCAGCAGCTTGGCATGGAGAATGCCAAGGGAGCGGAGACACCGGACGTGAAGAAGTCCGTGGATTTGCAGATGCAGGAAGCCCGGAGCCCAGCTCTACCGAAAGAGCAGGCTTCCCTGTATCGCTCATGCGTGATGAGGGCAGCGTACCTGTCACAGGACAGGTTGGACATCAGCCACGCTGTGAAGAATCTTGCGAGGAAGATGGTTTCTCCTACAGAGGCATCTTTGCAGGATTTGAAGCGACTGTGTCGCTACCTCATCAAGAAGCCGGACGTGTGTCAGGTCTTTGCACGGCAAGCCAAGCCGAGCAAGCTCCGAATCCAGGTGGATTCCGATCATGCCGGAGACGCAATAACGAGGAGATCCACAACAGGCATGGTTGCTCTGTATGGGTTGCATGTGCTCAAGCACAGCAGCAATGTGCAGTCGACCATCGCTTTGTCGACTGGGGAGTCGGAGTATTATGCTCTTGTCAAAGGAGGTTCAGTTGGTCTAGGCCTACAGTCACTCTTGGAGGACTTTGCGGTCGAGACCCAGGTGCTGATTCAATCAGATGCGACTGCAGCAAAAGGAACTGTCAATCGGGCAGGTCTGGGAAAGGCCCGTCACATCCAGACGAGGTTCCTGTGGTTGCAGGAAAGGGTCAGCATGGACCATCTGAGGGTGGAGCATACCCCTGGCAAGTCCAACAGGGCTGATGCTCTAACAAAGAGCATTCCAGGTGTACAGATGTCTGATACCATGCGAAGGTGTGGTTATGTTTTCCTTAACCAACGTAGCAAGGGACAGCTTAAGCTGCTAGAAGGCTAAGGTCCCTGGCCAGACTCCGCTACCTGAATTGCTGTGCGAGCGTGTACAGAGACGCTCTTCCAGCAAGGAGGAGTCATGATGTGTATAGTCATAATTGCCCAATGCGCTGATTGCACTCCGTGTGGTTTTGGCTCAAGAAAAGGGTGCGCTCCGCAGTGCACCCCAGAGCCGAGATATTGCATTTTGAGCAGCGCCTCGAGCCGAGGTGGTGCGGAGAAGGCGGAGCGGGCCCTCAGCGCCGCGGGCCCCGGCGGGGTGCGGCGGCGCAGCGCCGCGCCGGCGCGGCTGGAGGAGGCGGGCGGGGGCCCGACCGAGATAAAGCGAGCTCACTAAGTATGTTTTTTGTTTTGACTTGGCTTAATTATTTGAGCAGTTTTTTGTTTTTGACTTGGAATTTTGAGTATCAATTAAAGATGATTGGATGGTCACTTAGAGAGTAGGGTGCCCAGTCGGGTTAGCTGTGGGGTGAGCTGTGGGGAACAAACCACGTTGCTGGCTCCCAGGCAATGTTCGACAATCCAGGCAAGTGGCTACTAGCCCTAGCTGCGAAGGTCTTTCGAGGCTTGTCGTCGTTCTTGTGTGTGCCTCAAGAGAGCAAAGATCTTTCTTGGTTGACAGAGGGGGAGAAAGAGAGAGAGAGAGAGAGAGAGAGATAGAGAGAGACAGAGAGAGTGTGACAGATAGCGGATGAAGGGAGACATCATCTTCTTGCAAGGCACGCCCATGCAGACACATGAAGCATTTTCTGATGCCTAGCTCTGGCGAACGTTATTTTAACATGTGCCGTTATCATGTGATGATTATGCATGTGGTGATAAGTTTCAACTCTCTACCTTTTGAAGCTTCTTGCTGGATTGTCCAAAATCAATCCGTACTGCAATCTGTATGCCAGATGGATTGCATGGTTTCCCTTACTGTATAGGGTGTCCGTGGAAATCCCTCCACTTTCAGCAACCAGCAACCCAGTTTGACCCGCTTCCCAGAGGCTCCTTCTATCCACCGGGACCCCGGTCACCTTTCCTTCGTATGGTCCTTCGTGCCCCGAAGAGGGGCCCTTGACCCCCAAGGGAAGACCCGAAGAAGCCGGCTGGATTCATGCCATTTAGTCCCAAATTCCAACAACATTTGGTTTGACATTTCGTTTGCGTATATAAGGAGGGAGGCCCATCAAACACATTTGCTGGATCTGCTGCAGCCCCCCGAAACACAAAAAGAAGAGCTGATCAACACCCCCTATCAGCAAAACATATTTCAACTCCTTTCTTTAATCCCCCGTCTTTTTCTTTCGTTTGCAAAGCCAAGCCTCAGGTGATGGTAGGCTACCAGCAGGGGGCTGAGGAGTTCACGCCCATCCGCCTAGTGGCCCGTGGCAAGGAGCGGCTAGCGGATGTGGTTTTCCATCAGACTGGGTTTAGATTGCAGTTTGCAGCTTGGATTCGTTGGGACCCAAATTCCGATGTTTCATTTTGCATGTCTTGAACAGCTGTCCCTGATGTTGATGCCCAATTTAGGGAGAGAGAGCTTCCTTTTGCTTAAGGCGGACACGCAGCTAGCCGGCTGTTCTGTTGGAACGGTTCCAACAGAAACCTAGGTTTGCCTTTCCCGCGGCAGTTCAAGCCTTGGACAGGTGCGTCTCTTGCCTCTCGGGAGCTCAGGAGCTGGTCCAGGGGGAGGTCTTCGAGACCCAGAGCGACGAGATCCGCGGCCCGCCCGGATGGCCGGGTTTCTCGGGTGGGCCCCCGTGGTGTTGGCGGGAAGGGGGGGGGGGGAGGCAGTCGAGGGGTGCTCAAGAAGCGATCTGTTCCGCAGCCAAGGAAAGGAGTACCCGCAGTCTCCCATCGCAAAAGCCTTGCGTGCCAAGTACAACTGGGTGGCAGAGACGGATGGAGGGCGCTTCACCAGAGCTTTGGCTGCAGAGGGTGAACTGTGCCGCATGTGCCATGGTTACAAGATCTGCTAGATGCTTGGGGTCAATCCCAGACCCAAAGACGAGGGCGCGATTCAAATTAGAGGACCCCCTAACATGGATCGAAATTCGCAGACTAAAAGGGAACTAGTGTCTTGCGGCTACATCTGAAGCTAACATTTCTCATTACTTGAGGTTTCTTTGGCATGGATCCTGTTGGGTGCGATGTGTGAAAATGGCACCAGTTGCAGTGGAGAGCTTCGTCATGGGGTCGCCTGCGTGTGTGTTTACCAACCCCTCGCTCTTTTTTGCTGCTTTCATGAGTTGTTGGAGCAGAAGTGGAATTGGTTCATCTCTGATGTCAGGAAGTTCCGAATGCAAAGCCACCCACCTGAGACAGTCCCTGAAGGCCAATTCGGCACATGAAGCATAGGGAGCTGCCTGAATGCTTCAGTCCATGGCGCGCTCCATCCGGCTCAGGAGATCCCAACAAAATGCTCCCTGCAGTCCGAAGGGACGTGGCCGGAAAATGGACCTGCGACGTGTGCGGCAAGTGTCTTGGCTCAAGTTCGCGGGATGCTTCGGTTGCTTTACCTTATGGGTTGTTGTCTCCAGATGAGCCACAATCAAAACCCAGGTAGATGAAGGCTAGCAAGGGACAATCCCGGCCTTAAATGAATAGCTGCGGCCGCCTCGTTGATTCTTTACATGGTTCTGGGTAGACCATTTTAATACCGTTCTGGGTAGACCATTTTAATACCGGGTTTTGATTGTGACTCGGATGGGGAACCCATTCAAAGGGGCTTTCCCTTTGACTAGGAAGGGTGTCACACGCAATCACCACTTACGATAGGAATCAACCTAGGATTGCCCTTTGCCTGCTTCGATTTCAGCGGGTAAGCTCAGGCACCCAGTGGTGCCCCTTTTCTTCCTTTTTTTCTTGGGGGGGTTGGGGGGTTGGCTTCCCAGTTGAGCCACCCAAAAAAGGGATGGGTTGGGTAAGAGAGGGGCTGTTCGTCAACGAGTCAGAGGCACTGCTCGGAGCAGCTCTTCGTGTTCCGCGCCTTCCTCCGGAAGGAGCACCTGGATCCCCGCGCAGAGAGGCCGAAGGGCCGAATGGGTCAACCTGCATGCTCTCGCAATGCTCCTCGTGCTCATGGGTGTCCTATTGCTTTTTTTTTTTTTTGTGGGCCACTTCACCCAATGGTAAGGCGCTGGCCGGGGTTCCAGCTAGAAGGGAAGCCCAAACAGGACACCCTGGGGGTGCCTGCCATAGGTGCCTGGACCCCTTCGTGGCCTACATCTCGGAGCGGTGCGGCCGAGGGCTGCTGGGGCAGCCGCTCGGTTGAGTTCGGCGCCAGGCTTCCCTGGCCAGAGCCCTGCCGGGGCTGGAGCTTAGTGTTGTCCCACTTAATGGGGATTCATCACTTTTGGAGGGAACACCCCCGAAAAATGGACGGGTTTATTAATCCTGGGTCAGCATTAAACCAGCGATCCAAAGCACACATTGCCTTCGCTGGTTTCTTGATGTGCCGGTTCCAATTGGCGCGGCAAAGACTTCCTCCATGCTGTGACCCCGATGGAATATGCTTGGTTGCTAGTAGGTTGGGATCTTTAGACCTAGCGTTTTGGTTGAAACCATTTGGGTTCTCCATTGAACTAGGGGTCGTTACAGCAACCAAGCAGTGAGATGTGGATATCGCTTGACCTCTTTCAGCCCCAGATTCCTCATCGCCGCTCTTTCTGGAGAGGGAGCTGTCGCTTTTTGGGTTCGCACGTAGTGGGAAATCCCGGCCCTCGTGTTGGCGTGAGATTTGGATAGCTCTGTGCAAGCGCCATCTCTTCACGGGTCCCTGCTCTTTGAAGAAACCTCTGGCGACTATGAAAGCCTCCAGGTACTCGCACCTAGGTACCCTGGCAGGCATGCAAAGCTAGCGGTGAACATTAGGTGTGTGTGTGTGTGTGTGTGTGTGTGTGTGAAAGTAGCCTCGGGTGTGTGATTTTCCAGTTGGTTAAGCACCCTAAAAGGAGGCGTGCCCTCAAAAGAACACTTGCCCAGGGCCCGGGAAGCCCGTCTTTGAAAGCCAAAGACTTGAGAGCCCAGGCTCTCAGAGTACGCGCGCTTCAAGGAGGAGGTCTTTGGCCCCGCCCTGAGTTGCCGTCCGCCCAGGTCAGAGTGTAGCAAACAGCTCTAGAATGGGGTTGTGGAGTATTTGACACATATTCCTTGTTGTTTAGCTGATTGACCACGACCGGGCTGGCAATTTTTGAGCCGGAAGGATGGCGAGCACTTGGTCGCAGATGTTGGCTTCGTCGAAGTAGCAAGTATTTCTTGAATGGCCCGACCCTGGTGCCCACTTCTCGTCTGGCAGCGACCCCAGCCCGAGGCCTCACCACCGGCAGTACGGATCTGGACACCGCGCGGGCGCAGCTGGAGGAGTCGCTGCGGCGCTGCAGCCGCGAGGCGGGGATTTTGTTTTTGGGGGCGCGGGCTCCGGCCACGGGCTGAAAGGATACACGGGTGTGTCGTTTCTTGAGTACTTTTTGTTTTCCCTTCTTTGGGGGGGGGGTTGGTTTGGCGGGAAACTCGAGGACCCCTCTGTTTGGAGAGTTGCACTAGTTTGAGACCCATATTTTGGCCATGTTGAACATCGCGTACGGTCATAGGTTTGGTTGTGGGAGGTTTGGTTCTAAGGCCAGCTTCTGTGATACTGTGACAATCCCTGTTGAAGTGATGAACTGGGGGATGGGGCGCTTTGGTACAACCAAGGTGGCTTTCCACTTACATCTGGGCAATCTGCCATTTACTTTCACCCCTCCGTGTAACTTCTCCGTTCGTAGGACCGGCAGTTCCTCATCGACGAGTTAGAGCGCCTGGCGGGTGTGGGCCCCGCCGGCGCACCGAAGACCGTTGAGATGGCAGGGGCCTCGGAGTTTTTTTTTTGGGGGGGTCTGGCGGCCTGGTGGGTACGGTGTGGGTGGTGTGGGGTGGTGGGGTGGTGGGGTGGTGCGGTGCGGGTGGTTTGGTGGTGGGGTGGGGTGGCGGTGCGCAGGAGGCAGTGGAGCGGCTTGTGGTTGGGCCCAACCCTGCGGCGCTGCTGCGCACGGCGGAGGCCCGTTCTTGCTTTGCGCGCAGGAGGGGGGAGGGGGCGTGGTTTCTCCCCGGGGCAACAAAAACAAGCAGAGGGTTCGGGGACCCGGCGACATCACGCGTGTCATCGACGACTGGAACACCAACCGTGACAGCAATGGCGTCCGCAGCCGCGTTCCGCCAGGATGCCTTCAGGGCTTTGGCCCGCACGCTGGCCCCACGCAACTTGGCCGGACAAAAGCCAGAGGAAGGGCCACTACACTACACCGTACGTCATCCACGCAGGTGGCGGGCGCTGCAAATCACTGTCTTTCAACGGGAGTGCGGGTGTTCCCTCTACTATTCTTCTCGCCCAGTCCTCCGTTTGTGACGGGGTTACTCTTTTTTGGCGTTTGCTCAAGCCCGGCTTTGGTTTGGACTGGGGGGGGAGGGGCAGTAAGGCCCTAGCCTGGGCGGGAAAGGCGCCAGTGTTTCTTTGTTTGTGTAGCCAGCAGAGACTAAAGGGCTGTTGTATGATGCAGGGGCCCTTGTGTCTCAGTTTCGGGCGAGTTACATCACCCTTTGGCCTGGCCCAAACGATGGGGTTGCCTTGTCGTAGAGTGACGTTTCGGCTCATATTTCGACTCTTGGGGCCTGGACATCGTTGACTCTGAGGCATTAACAACTTGCGCACAGCCATTACCATTGCATGTGGGCATCGAACAAGGGCTGGCACGTTCAAAGACCTTTTTGTGCTCAGAATCTTGCCTAATCACATTTTCCAGTACAGTTGGCCTTGGGGATGCAAAAGGGGTGGAATCAGGGAACCCTTCCTTTGCAAAGGTGCAGTTGGGTGAGAGCAGACGGCGCAATTCCCTTACCATTGGGAAACGGCTTGAGGAAGGTTCTGGCTAGGTTGGCTGAACCCCTTCCCCATTTTTGGTTTCTGCATCCCTTTACTCACCAGAATTAATTCCCCTTCTCAATTTTACTTTACTTAGTGGAAATAGCGCAGCGCAGATAGCTTGGGCTGCGATTCTCTACCTGGTCTCACTGTTTTGTCCTTCACTGTCATCTACGTCCATTATCTTCTGCCCTAGCGTAGCTTGCAGGGAACAGTGGATGAGGGTCCAAAAAGGACATGACCTCTCACGCCAGACAAAGGAAAGATATAGACCGCCCAAATGTTCCCATGTCCTTTGGGGAAGCAAGAATCGCCTGAGAGATTGCGCATTAGACAGAGAAATGGCGCTAAGAGATCTCCTGACAGATTGCACGGACAGATGCCGTCGAGAGGTCGCCTGCGAGATTGTGCGGGGAGAGATGGCGCAGACACAATTTGCGGAGATATCGTTTGCGAGAGAAAGCAAAGCAAGAGAGGGCTTGTTAAGATTGCAACGAAGGATGGCACAGAAGTTTGCGGACAGAGAATCAGAGAAAGGGATTCCCAGGACGGATTGCGTGCAGCGAGACTGCCTACACAAGCGGCACAGGGAGGTCGCGCATTTTTGTTTATAGAGAGAGAGAGAGAGAGAGAGAGAGAGAGAGAGAGAGAGATGGCGTGGGGTGTCTGTCTTTTTCTGGGTACCACTTTTTTCTGGTTTTACAGGAAGCCAAAAGAAAACTACCCATGCGCGGGCGGCGTTTCCCTGTTTCGAGACAAGCCAAAAACGATTGCCCAGAAAGATTTGCCACAGAAATCGGCCATCTTTGCCAGAACAACAGTGACACCTACTTTTGGTGTATCCCAGCGCAGTGGGCGCGCGCCCGGCGCGCGGAGGTGTTGGTGCCCGGCTCTTGGCCTGCGCAGCGCTGCAGCGCGGGCTGGCGGAGGGGGCCGCCGGGTACCTGCAGAGCTGGGGGGCCCGGCCGCGGCGGCGACTGTTTTTCGCATTCGCTGGGGGGAACTTTGCGGGTAATTTGACTTGCCCCCCCCACCCCTCTGAGGGTTTTTTAAGCGGAAAAGGCTGAAGAGCTAGTGATTTTGTGGGCTGGCGACGTGTGAGCCGAAGCCCTGCAGAGGAACATGCATCTTTGTCAGGGGATTTTTTTCTGGGAGAAGTGGAGGTCATTTGAAAGGGAGCAACTGGCCAAAATTTTGACGGGCAACTCAGGAGTTTACCACCCACCAACGAGCACACCGCGAATAGGAAGGTTTCCAAGCACCACCAGCCAGAAAAGCGACGGCAGAGTGCACCCTCGCCCCGTTCGCCCCACTAATGTTTTGACACAGTTTGGCGGCTTCGGCTCGAATCTATCCATTGCGTCTCCCCCACCGTCCACTTCTAAGAGCAGAGAGGTTGTGGCTTGGGTGTTTCTCAAAATGGCGGTCCTCTCAGATTGCTTTTTTTCCCCTTGAACCACCAAAGCGGGGCCCACCCCCCTGTTCCAGGTGTCGCCAGCAGCCTGGCAGCCGGCGGCCCCCTGCCGCAGGCGTGGCGTTTTGCCGTGCACCCGCCGCCACATTCCTTCTTCGGAGGTGGGGCCAAAGCTAAGGTAGAGAAGAGAAGTGAGTCCAGGACTTGTTGATGTTCACTTGGCCCAAGAAAGCGAGCATGGGCAGCAGACGCAGGGCACCTACCTATTCGATCGTACTCTGCACTTTTACCGTTTGCTTGCGGTGTTTGTTTTGTCCTTTATCATAGTTGGTCGTTGGTGGACCCGGAAACAAAACCCTTGGATCTTTTGGACCCTCTTCGATGTTTTTCGTTTGGCACCACAAAAGGGGCTTATCCTACCATAGATCATGTCCTTACTGCAAGGGACCCACTTGGGATTGATCCGAAGTTGCCATTATGTCGTTTGTCCAAGAGGGGGAAGGGCCCGAGCCCCACCCACCGAGTCTCCGCGCCGCGGCCCCTTGGGAACCTCAGGCGCCCTCGCCTTGGCCGCTGAAGCAGGCGGCGGCGTGCATTGAGGCAGTGCTGCGGGCCGCCAATGAAGGAGCGGGTTGGGGAGAGTGTCAGGGCGAGGGGCGAGGGGGTGGGAGGGACCCAGGGTGGTGGGTATAAGGACTTGTTTTGGTTCCCTCTATTTTTATACTACCTTCCTTGGAGGAGCCCTGCCAACGGCAAAACATACAGTGGCAAGTACACGTTGCGTAGAGAAATCAAAGCCGGCAGCCCACTTTGTTTGCAGAAGACGCGAAAGGCGGGGAGGCGCCTCAGCTGCGGGTGGAGTTGGCGTGCTCCTGGGACGCGAAGATCAAGGCATGGCTTTGGGCAGTTCGGGGGGGGTGGGGGGGAGAGGGGAAGCTAAAGGGGTTGTGTTAAAGGGAAACCAAAGGGAATCATAGGGATGCGTTTTTCAAACCACTTTCAACGGGATTGTGTGGGGTAATGCTTTTGGGCCTGTTTGAAACGAAGGGTAGAAGGGAAATCAAGCGGGGTTCTATAAAAGTTTACTCAAGTTGCGCGCATTTTGGGGGTCATTTTAACATGAGAACACGTTTTTGGAAAGGCCAGTCGTGATGCTGAACGGGGGCAAGAAAGGCCCCCCGCGAGCGTGGGCGTGGAGGTGTTAAATCCAAAGACCACTTTCGAATGGTTGGTGTCGCGTGGGTTCCTGTCAAATCCAGCATCAACATGATGTCTGGTTTTGACACACTTCAGTTGCAGCTGGCGGCACTTGTTGGCAGTAGTGAAGTGGGATTCCAGTGTACCACAGCGACGTCGGCAAAAGGGTGGCCTTTGAGGAACCTGCCATGAAGTTTGACTTTCCGGACCTCCGATTGCGTCGAGAGGAATTCTTGCAAGTCAGCAGCTGTCAGTAGGGGACGGCTCTAGATCAGCGGGAGCCTGTTGCAATTCCACAGGGGAGAACCTCCCATGCCGCATTCCAATCATCCATCGTCCGATGGAACGAGTTTGCTTTCTCAGCCGCGAGTCCAGACCGCGGCATATCCAGACTCTTTGCATTGGAGTAGTTTGGGTTCCTCAGCTTCTCTTTGAGCCACTCGATTTCATGATGGCATGATGGCGACGTCGGATTCACGCACCCGCCGAGTTTATGGAGGGGTTTCACCCCCCAACGAAAAGGGTCCCAACTGAAAGGGCAGGCTCCTTGTAAATTAATCTATAGGTCATGGGGGCTATTTGCGATGCCAAGGGAATCCTCTGAAAGATCTTTAAAGTGATAGACCTGTCCATGGGAATGGCCCACTTTGGTAGCACAGAGAAAAAAAGAGCCACCATGCCGGCCTCTCGGGCTTGTTGATCAGCAGACCCAGGTTTGGCTGCATCCAAAGGGATGCAGATTCTCGGGGCTCCCCCATTTCAAGGCCGGAGTTCTTAAACAGCACCTGACTCTACCTGTACAACCCCCAAACCCAACCATTCCAACCAAACCAACCCCCTCCTAGCTCCATCTTTGGCCGGTTCCAATGTCACCGAAGATCCTCCCCATGTGTTGGAGCCGATTTTTTTTGTTGGTTTGCCTGGCGGATCTGCCAGGCCTTCGGCCCGGGCAAGGCGGATCTGACGATCCGCCTGGGGTACCTGCAAGCCAGGCCCCGCTTTCCGCGGGCTCGCAACGAGCGCATTTTTCCGGGAAAAGCGCGCGGGCTGGGGATGGATCGGCTCGGCGCCAGACTCTCTGGGGCCCGGAGCTCAAGAGACTTCTCTGGGATCTCGGCTATTCGGCTCTTCGGCGGTCCGGCTATCCTCCCAGGTGCTTCTGGGCAGTTTGTGTGTGTCAGGCTGCCTCTTGGCCTTGTGAGCAAGTTTCATGGGGGACCTCTGAAATGGTGGGCGGGAAGAAATGTAGCTACGATTTGCCACCAAGTGCCCATTTCCAACAAAAAGTCGCACACGACAGACACACAGTTCCCCCCCGTACAACCCTTCAAAGAACCCCCTCAAAACAAGGTTCCAAGTACTTCCCACGAATTCAGGCACTCAAATGATGGCCATCCAAAGGTCCCACTCATTTAGTTTCAGATGCATTTACCTCGCTATCATGGCCATGACATTCTAACTACCTCAGAGCCACTGCCTCAGTTTCGCCCAGTGTGGTTCAAATGGAAGATGCGGCACCATATTTCCACTAAAAACTACACATGCCCCTTTGTTTCTCCAACTCTCCAGCCTGAGATTTCTGTTTTGCGAGCAGTGGCGAGTGGAAGCCCCACCTCCCGCTCGCACCGCGTGCGGTTGTCCCCACGTCCCAAAACCGCACGCGGCGACGCGGCGACACTCGCTGCGAGGCAGGCGCTCCACGCCTTCGTGCCGAGCAGTCGCCTGGGCAAGGAGCAGGCGGCGCTGCTGCAGCAGCGCCTGGAGCGCTTGGCCGGGCCGATGTGTCCTGGCACGGATGGTGGGGGGGAAGGTTGCAGGAGGGGGGTCAAACAAGTTGGGTTGTTGGGTTGGGGGGGGGGGGGCGGGAAGGGGTGGCACAGAAGTGGCATGGAATTGTGAGGAGGGGGAACACATTTCGATGCATGTTGAGGTTGACTAAGTATGGGCTAGAAGCGAAAGAAGGAAATAGTTGGAGGCAAAAGCTGATTTGGCTCATTTCATGTATGCCTCCATCACCATTTTCCTCGTTGTGGAGAAGGCTGTGTGAATGTCGGTGCGGCTGGCTGGGACCCCATCCCATTGGTCTTCGCTGAGTGCTTTGGGTTGGTTTGTGGTTGGTGCAGATTGGTCTGGTTTGTGGGGGGAGAGGGGAAGGGCCGTGCCACACATGAAGAACTCATTCATGGGGAATAGACCTCATTTCAGGTCGCTTTCCGTTTGTGCACGTCCAAGGCAGCCACTGGCCACAGCAGCCGCGCCTGATTTCTGTTTTTCAGTTTTTGGCTTATGCTTGGTTGGTGTTTGCCCCAGCCCAGGCAACCAGCGCTGAATGGGGCAGAGGCTTCGCTGGGATGGGCCATGCGGAGAGAGGCATTTTCGAGCAGGATTCAATTGGTGGTTTGGATTGGAATGGGTGGTTTCCCATTTGCCCTCTACAGTCCCAAACAGGGGCGAGGGGTCAAACCACAGAACCCTGAGAAAATGGTTGGTCACCCTTTCCACCCGAAATGGGCTTCAGACCATTTTAAGACAGATCCCATCTATGTTTGCGCTGCCTTTTGGACGGTTGGCAAGTGCCAGAATCTAAGACTGCAGGAATCTGGGGGGGGGGGGGGGCAACAGTGAGGCAATTTGGGATGCTTGCAAGCAACAAGGGGTTCCAACACACCCACACACACACACACACACCCACACACCCACACACCCACACACACCCCTTCACTTTTGTAGGTGACTCTCCTTTGGGGTGAACCCTCCCTTTGGGCTCCATGTGGATTTGCCAGGGTGCATCCTTCCGGTGGATTCCAAATAGCCTCGAGGCGCCGTCCCTGCCTGGCATCAGTCTCCGGCCAGTGGTGCGCCAAATGGGCGCCTGAGCCGGATGAGTGGGGAGAGGGAGGTTTCCATTGGCTGAAATCTGAAATGAATGTTTTTTTGTTTTTTTTCCCCCCTTGTTTGTTTTAAAAGGATTTTTTCACTGTACTAGTTGTTTTTCTTTTTCCGGGGGTCTTAACCAAATGGAAGGGAGGGGGCGTTTCTCAGAATAAGGGGTCCCAACCACAAGGGCGGTCCAACATTTTGAGAACCTCCCGTATCAAGACTTGTCAGCTCTCCTGTGCTCAGGCAACGCATGAAACTCATGCTTGTGCAGCAGGGCATGCGAAGACTTTGCCCACAACCCTTCATTTTGCCAATCCTAAGCCGCCTTCGGCTTTCTGAGGGATTGTCTTGAGGATGACCATCCCGCCAGTTTTCTTCCCTTGCGGAGCCTTTGGGGTTAGAACCCGGCTAAACGGGACCCAAGCCTTCAACGGGACCCTGCCCCCATGCGCCTGGCGCGCCCCGTGCGTGCTGAAGGCCGAGCTGAGAGCCTGGGCTTCGGCTGGCACTCTGCGGACTGGGCAGAGAAGTTGAAGGACCAGCGGCTTGATCTCCGCTGACCCTCCCACCAAAGCCCAGGTATCCCCACAGCCACCCTCCGCAAAAAACGGTTCCAGCGGTTGGGGGAGAAACGCAGAAGTTCAAGAAGAAGAAGGCCTTTCCCAAGAGGAAGCACAGTTGTTCAAAAGGGGGTTGGTGCAACGACCTTTTCTCCAAAAGCCCGTTCTTTGTTGAAAAGCCGCCATTGGGTTTATAGTGCCACGGTGTCGGGGAAGGGTCATGCAAGATGGAGGCACTGTCAGCTCATGTGGGTCCACTTGCGCGGCAAGACGTTGGCCAGCGCAACTTGCAACTTGGCTCTCGCATGTGAATGTTTGCAAACTTCCCCTTGCAGACGTTCAGCCAATCCAGCAGCCCGCATACTTGCGCACGACACACCGAACGTGAGTGCAACAGAAGCCCTTCAGCCTGAAGGATTCTTTCCGCTTGCCTTGGGCCTGAGGGTTAGGCCGAGCCCCTTGTCAAAAGCATTTCCTTTGGGGTCCCGTTGTTTGAAACCAAACCTTGGCACCAACCTGGTTGGGCATTTCCACTCGCGCCATGGGCTACTTGGCGGATTTGAAGATCCCCCGCTGGGTGGTCACCGGCGCGGCCGGCGCGTTGGGCGTTTTGGGCGTGGGGCTGTGGCTGGCTCGGAAAAGGCGCCGGGTGGCGGAGGTGCGGGTACAGGAGCTCCACGTGTACCCGGTGAAGGGATGCAAGGGGCACAGCCTCAAGAAGGCGCACGGGAGAGAAAAGCAAAGCCCGAAAAAAAAGAAAAAGAAAACACACACACTCAAGACACACATTTGGGCAAATCATAAAACGGGCTCACGTCACTTGGGCTTTTTGATTTCTGGTTTCTGAATATAGAAGTGCCCCTGCACTGGGTCCTCTGCAGGGGGGGTATTTCAAAGGTTTGCAATCGCACGTTTTTTTGGTTGCGGGTCTTCTTTGAACAGTTTGTTTTGCCCAATTGCGAGTCACAAAGCTGGGCCCCTCTTGCGAGGCCATCTTCTTGTTGCATCCTTTTCGCGTGCTGAGGTGAGAGTGACAAGCTGGGGCCTGGAAAACGACAGAGTCTACATGATTGTGAATGACAAGGGGGTGTTTGTCTCCCAGCGGGAGCTCCCGCACATGGTGCTCATCCACCCGGAGCGGGGGGGAGAGGGATGGTGGGGCAGTCGTTGGGTCGATGCTTTGCTTTTTGATTTGTATCCTGCGTTAGCGGCAGTTTTGTTTTTGTTTTGCCTTTTCGGCTCTCACTTTAAGGGGAGCAAGTGGAAGTGGCGTGTTGGTTGAGAGACGTTAGGAATCGTGCTGCCTGTAAGAACAACCTTTCCCTGCTCTCAGCATGTGCTTGTGGGGCCTGACGGGCTACTGAGGGCTACGTCATAGCACCTGGGGTTGGGCGGGCTTGTCTTTTTTTCACATATGTCAGGTGGGTGAACCTCAAAATTGGGGGCTTCTCAAACATGTACGATTGCCATTTGCATAGAAGGTTTCCCTTTTCGGTGCCGCCTTCTTGCCCCCCGCCTGGTCCACCCAGCGCATGTGTTCCTGGAAAGTTTCCCGCCCGAAGTGAGAATCGACTGGGAGTTTCTTGCCTTCCTGTTTCTCAGAGGCATTTCACCATGGCTACCCCAGATTGTTCTTGTGACATCAAAAGCCTTTGTCTTAAATGGGAGTGTCTGTTTTCGAGGGTACCCCTTTTGAGGGAACCCAGAGGAAACCATCATGTTTGGGAGGTCCCCCCCGCCAAAAGAGACCCAATGATGAAAGGTCACAGGCAGTTAAACAACCTGGAGGCGAAAGCTGCGTCACATGTGTTTTCCACTGGCTTATCTGCATTGCCGTCTTTGGCTCATGCTTGGCAGTGAACGGGAGGAAGGACAGCATTGTTTCTATGCATAAACTGTCAACCACCCAATGTTTTGTGCATAGTTGCAGTTCAACTGCTCGAAAATCTGAACCAACAAACCGCAGCCAACACATGGCAGAAATCCTTCTCAATGGGAAGCTGATAACTTCAAACGGAGCTATGCATGTAGCGAAACACATCAGAGTGAAGCTGAGTTGGTAAAGAGTCTTGCAATGATTGCCACCATTTGTCTATACATTGAGCCCCCACCATGAAGCAAGTGCGTCGTTCGCGTGCTCCTGGGATGGACATGGTGCTCTCCAGACGCTTTTTGCCAGCATTTGCAACCAACATTGGCCATCATCAACCTGTGTGCACTGGAATGTGTGTTCGTGTGCGTGCAAGCCTTCCTCACGACGGCAACATGCCCCCTCCCCGGTTCCCCAGCACTGCTCACAACTGCAACTCGACACATCACAGCCTGAAACAGCAAACAGCTAGAAAAAGCACCAAACAAAGTACCCGGATTTCCTCCTACCACCTGTTTTTCCTCATACCAGTTTTTCCGGTTTTTCCAGTGTTTCCTGTTTTTGCTCCTACCACCCTCCGCCGTTTTTCGGTGGGACGATTTTTTAGGACATGCCCACGGAGCGGGGCATCATTCTGCGGGCGGAGGGCTTCGAGCCCTGTGAGGTGAAGCTCGACGCGAGCTCGGCGCCGCAGCAGGTCCAGGCGGTGTGGCGCGATGGCGCCATGGGTGGGGGGCGCGGTGGGGATGGGATCGGGGGGGAGGGGGGTGGGTGGGGGGGGGGGGGTGGCGCTTGTGACCAGCGTTTTTTTTCTTTTTTCGCTTGTGCGGAGGGATGGGGGGGGGGGGTTTCCGGGCATTTTCGATTTTTTGGACAACAAGGTAGACTTAAACCCAGGGCGTTTTCAGCTTATCAGGTTTAAGTCTGCCTTGCGGTAGTCAAAAAGTGGAACCCTGATGGAGTTCATGGATGAATACCGGTGGCACTGGGTTCGAATTTCGATGGTTGACGATAATTTGCCTCCTACAAGCCGCGGATTTTTCTCGGTATCTTTTTTGTGGCACAGACGCACCGGTCGGGGGAAACACGAGCGAAAGACCCAGCAGCCCTTCACTCGAATTGCAAAGATCCCGAATTTACCTCCGTGTGGGTGTATTTCAGATTGGCCCCAAAAACAACCACACAAGTGCGGAGCCGGTCTTTGTGGGTACCGATTTCAGATTGGCCCCAAAAAAACCACAAAAGGACCACCTCCATTTTGCCTTAGTTTGAGACCCACCGCACAGATTCTTTGGCCGCTCCGAGCTCCGAGTTCCGCGCTCCGCGTTCCGAGTCCGCAGGTCTGGGATGACGTGGTGCCGGCCATCGACCAGGGCCCCGGCGCCGCGGAGTGGCTCTGCCGGGTGCTGCGCAGCCAGAAGCTGCGCTTCGCCGGGGCCCCGGCTCAGTCGAGTGGAACGGGGGGGGGGGGGGGCCGAAGGGGGGGAAGGGGGTTCAGCAAACCCGTGGCGCTTGGGTGGGTGGGTGGGTGGGTGGGTGTGGGTGTGGGTGTGGGTGTGGGTGTGGGTGTGGGTGTGGGTGTGGGTGTGGGTGTGGGTGTGGGTGTGGGTGTGGGTGTGGGTGTGTGTGTGTGTGTGTGGATTTTCGCAGCAAACAATTAACTTTTCGCAGGGGCTCAAGTCCGGCCAAGAGAGAGGATCACTTCCAACGCCATGCCTGAGACGCTGAGGTCAGGATCGCCAGCACTGCCAAGCGCGCCACAGATCCCAAGCGCCCTGGCGAACTTTGGCCCATTGGATGCCCCATCCCGCCGGATCCTCCCGCAGGAAGGTGGAAGCCGACGGAAGGTCCCTGTTAAAGGAAGATGGTCCTTCAGGCAGCTTCCATGTTAATGGGCGGGAGGTTAGCTCTCCCAGCTGCCCGGCTTTATTTGAAGCTGCTTTTTTTTTGGATTCAAGGGTGCCCGAACCGCCATGCTTGCAACTTGCAGTGGAAATCGCCGAAACACACTTCCGATTGAGCAGAACCTGCCGTCTGCCGATTGAGCAGAACCTCAGCCGGTGATCGGCATGCTGCGTCTTATTCCTTCGCTCCCGGACTTCATGTTAAACTTTTATCAATGGGATGGGCCTCGAACAGGCCTCAGTCGTTCAGCTTCCTGTTTTCCTTTCCATTCTCCTCCTTTCTCCTCCTTTTCTCTTCCCTGCCTTTCCCTTGGGCCCTTGGGTTCTCTTCTTTCTACTCCTCCTCTTCCCTCTCCCGCGTCCTTGTCTCCTTTACTTCCTATCCTTGTTTGTATTCCTTTGTTCCCTCCTTCATGCCTCCGTGCCCACCTCCCCAGCTACCACCCTACCCACCTCATCTACCTACATGACAACCCACCTACCTACCCACTTACCCACCTATCCACCTATCCACCTATCCACCTATCCACCTATCCACCTATCCACCTATCCACCTATCCACCTATCCACCTATCCACCTATCCACCTATCCACCTATCCACCTATCCACCTATCCACCTATCCCCTATCCACCTATCCACCTATCCACCTATCCACCCGCCCGCATGAACTTTCCCTCCTTGTTTCAATCCCAGGTACGGCCCAGTCGGCGAGACCGCCTTCTCCGACGGCTTCCCTATCCTCGTCACCTCCAGCGCCTCCATGGACCTGGTCAAAAGGAAGGCCCCTCCACGGTCGAATTCGAGTCCCCGGGCGCGGCCGACCTGAAGCCCCAAGTTGGTTGGCGGTTTGGTGGTTTGGCCGGGTTGTTGGTGGGTTGGTTGGTGGGTTGGTTGGTTGATTGGTTGGTGGGCGGGTGGGTTGGTGGGTGGGTGGATGGTGTTCTCCGCTGTTCTTCGTTATTCTCGGTGCTCACTACTTGGCATGTCTACGTGGAATTTCCAGAGGGCAAGCTGTAACGAGCTCACTTTGGGGTAAGTGGAGCACACACGTGATGAAGGTCGTTTTCTTGTGGATTCCGTACTTAATTCTTGCGAGCTGCAGTAGTTTGCCCAGGCTTTCAGGGGCCTGCGGATGTATGGCTAACGGCTAACCGGTCCCTTCTTGGCGACGCGTCGGCGCGTGAAGGCGCAGGGGCAAAACACCGCGAGCCTGCCCAGGGTACGTAAAACATATGGTCTTTAGTGTCTGTTCTTTATTCTTGAAGCACTGGTGCACATACTGCGGATGGACGAAATCCATTTCGCACCAGCTCAGAAACCATGGGAAACCATGACGTTTGTTGGTATTTACAGGGGGGTCATATGGGTGTGGCTCAAAATTAAACAGGAGGAGCAAACCGCAGGTGTTGGTCCATGTTTCCATCTTACCAGGTAACCCATTTTGGTACCGGTTTTTTGAGCCACAGCCATGTATCATTCCAGTGTTTCTTCGTGGCGCTTTTTTTTTTCCCCGGGGAGTCCCCCGCGGTGAAGCTGTTTGGCAGGTTCTCAGCGCGGGCGGCCCCGCGGTTGGCATCGACCGCTTCCGGCCCAATCTGCATGTCTCGGGCTGCGGGCCCTTCGAGGAGGACGAGATGCGGGCGCTGGTGCTGGGCGGCTCCGTGAGGACAGTTTGGGGGGTGGATGGGGCAGGCGTGGATGGTCAACCTACGTGCTGTAGTAGATTTCATATTTCTAGGGTATGCTAAATGGGAAATGTTTGTGCTGCATTACCTGTCTTATGCAGCCCTCTGGCTATTCCTCGTTAGCATTAGTTTCCAAGGTCCTGCTTCCCCTTGAAGCAGGGTGGCTCCTTCACTTGACGGAGGGATTTCTGGCATCCCCGCCCCCTTTAAAGATGGAATTGGGGGAGGGGGGTGACCCATAGAATTCCATTGGTTCCATTTTCCCTTCTGTGAGACTAGATAATTGGCATTGGGCCCCCCACCTCAGTCCCCCTTATGGTAAGGGGGATTTTCTGGCATCGGACTAAGTGGGCATGTTTTGAATATATGGGCCGCCCCCAAACAATTCGGCGGATTTTTATGTGATTTCCCTTTAAGCCTTCGCCAAGGGTCCCTCAAAGAGGCACGGGGCATTGTTGAGAGCATTGGCCACCAATTGGATGGTCAGCGCAGGTAAGTATCACCGAGATTGTGATGCTTAGTCCAGTTTGTAGGGGATGCTCAAGGTAGAGCAACATGGTTGTCAGAATCAACACTGTGATTTGTTTGGTTGGAGGCAATATAGGTAGCCGTGGTTATGGCCATGTAACCTGCTTGGTTACATGGGTTGAACATTCAAGCGCCAGCTTCTCTTTCAATGGGCCCATTGCCGCGTGCATTGCGCCCCCGCTGAGCAGCCAAGTCAAGGACCGCCCGCCCCCATTCAGCGGCTAAACTAGCTTTTGTCTCCAACGGGAAGTACCGACTCCGAAGAATCCAGACACACCGAAACAGCAACCAGGCAGGAAACCTGGCCACTTCTTCAGGGTCACTTGGAATGTGAGATGCGCCTTGTCTTTTCACTCTTGTCTTACTTTTTCTTAGGGAATCAAGATGGGTTTCAGAATGAACCTGGCTCATCGAGGCTTCCCCACTAAGAGCCAGCAAGTTATGGAGGTTTATGTAGGCCGTCCTAGAAGCACCCACCAGGCAGCAGAACCAGGCGCCAAAATGGCCAGCAAACGGATTAACGGTTCGGGGGTTTGAACCCCTAGTCCTTGTGGAGGGTAGATGGGAAACCAAATAGACGGATCCACCAATTTGCAAAATGACCAAAACGGTCCAATTGGGGGACATGAACATACCAATGGCTGAAAAGAATGGATGCGGAGGCGAAATCCGTCCTCCCCTCCCTCCCCTCCCCCCCCCCAGCATGCCCGGAGGCTGCCTTTAGTGAAGCCCTGCTCCCGCTGCACCGTGCCCGGGGTGGACCCGGCCTCGGGCGTGCGCTCTGTGGCCACCGGGGGCGTGCTGACGAAGGTCATGCGCCAGCACCGCGCGGGGGGCGCGCTGGCGCGGTCCGCGCAGCTCCACAAGGTCGTTCGTGGTGGGGACGGGGGGGGGGGAGGGGCACCAGTGGCTTGGCAGAAGCCGCAGTCCGCTGATGTCGAGCCCGTGAATAACCCCCTTGAAGGTTGGAAGGTTTTGGGGGGCAACGGGGCCAAACCCAAGCGTTCGAACTTTGAGGGACGGCCTGTACTCAAACAAATGGCGCATGAACTCTTGAGGACTGGGCGTTGGTGTGCCGCTGTGCTTGCGCTTATGATGCTGGAGCCTGCCTGCAAACAAGTTCTCATTTCCTTTTATTGGCGACATTTTCCGCTGCATCTGCAAGGGTTGCTATTTTGATCAAGGAAATCGTCAGCAGTCCTTCCCCCCATAAACTACATTTTTTTGCGTGAACCTGCCGAAAACCTCCCCCAGCCATGCCACCCTGAGCCAATCCTTTGCCAAGCCTAGATCAGCCCTAAACCAACCTTTCAAAACCAGCAGTTCCCATTCCCCTACATTTTGAGGAGAGTGCCTGGTACCCCTTCGCACCTCTGATCTCCAGCGGTGCGTGAACGACCTCCTTCAGGTGTGAGCTTGGCAGTTTCTTTTCGTGGTTTGGAATCCTTGCAAGGCCTTGAACAAACGAAGGCGAAGCAGCCCAATACCAAGGCGACTCCAAGCATATACCGAACCCATGCCAAGCCAGCCTCCAGGCCTTCTTCAGTGAGGCCAAGCGTGCGGAGGAGGTCTTCTTCGGGCAGAACGCCCAGGCCGGTTCCAGTGGCAGTCTTTCTTTGGGCGTTCTTTTCGTTGCATGGCCTCTGGCCTGGTCGAGTGGCTCCTCCCTCTCTTCCACAGAAACCTCCACCCGCCGGACGCTCCCCCCCCAGCGTCGCAAGGTGGTCTTCGAAGGCGCGGGGCGGTGCTATGTGTCCGTGGGGGACTTTGTGCGGGTGCAGTGGTGAGCGGCCGACTCCGCAAGTTGAAAAGGCAAAGGGTTGATGTGCCGGAGCTGGGGATGGCTGAAAGCAAAAGCATTCGGATGTTGCAAGGCAAGTTGTGGCAGGCACGGGAAGGCCATTTTTTTGTGTTCAAGGCTTAGCGCGCCGCTCCGGCCGTCGCGCAACAGCAAACAGGTGCCAGGCGCCCTTCGTGCTTTATGTTTAGAAACGCACGGCTCTGGCCGCTGCGAGACAAAACACTGTGTTAGGCTTTCTCTTTCGCGGCGCGGGGGTGAACTCAGCGCTCGCTTGCGGGGACGAACTGCGCAGCAAAAGGCCGGCGGGGTGTCAAGAGGGATGCCCTCTGACCAAAGCTTAAGCGGAGAAGAGCTCGACCAGTACTGGTCGATGGGGACTGGCTGGAAAGCCTTCAGGAACCAAGAGTGCTGAGGGTTTGTGACTCGCTCTGGGATTTGGTGGAATCATGTTTCCAACTTGTTGTGATGGGCAGTTGTTTTCAGGCGAGTTCACGTTATATAGCTAGCGAGTGGGCCAAACAGATGCAGACAAGAATATGCCGCTTTCGGAGGCCATTTGAATTCCGCAGGGCACATGCTCCCGCAACAGCACGTGCAGATGGAAGCGTTCGGTTCCGCTTCGCAGCTGGAAAATGGGCGCCGGTGCTTGGGGGTGGCTTTTCGTCGGTTGGGGAATGCAGGGAATGCCAAAAAGGCAAATGTGCTTGGTTTGAACCTGTTCTGGGGCCAAGTTGGAGACGAGGCTGAGTTCAAGCAGGCGGCGGGACAGATTTTTCTGACAAGGTTGTGTAGATGATCCTCAGGTTCCTGGAGCTAACCCCCTTGGCGCTTACATGAAAGCAGCGCCCCTGGAGAAACAAAGGCGCCTTCCAGTTGGCTTCCTTCCAGGTTCCCTGGGAAAACTAACTAACCCTCTCATCCCAGAGTTGGAAGTCGTGGCAGCCCAAGATTAAGGGATTATTCAGGGAGAGCGCCTTGAGGGGTTTGGGTTACACCTGCTTCCCGGTTTTGGACGTGGGCCGGACTCGCCCGTGTCGCAAGGAGCTGCTCGGCGTGGAAGTGGACTTCACGAGAAGACCTTTGCGCCAGCTGGCGAGGGGGCAGCTTGCAGTTTGAGGGCGTCTTAAGAGGAAATCCCGAACCTTTTTGGGGAAGCGCGTCTGATTAATCCACCCGGCTGATTACAGTTGCCGTGGCGGACAACTCCAACTTGGAGTCGGAGCTACTGTTATTCGGGGAGTTCTGTCTGCAGCATGTGGGCTTTGACTTCAAATAGGGCAAGCCCCAATATGGTTGGGTTTCCTCTTGGTTTCCTTCAAAACCCCCAAGCCAATGGGGTGACAACTCAAAGGCCGACCGAGCCACGCGTGTGCCGAGGCCTCGCCACGGGCTGCAGTGGGGCGGAGGCCCCCCACTTTGCGCTGCAGCAGCTGGTGGGCGAGGGAGGCCAGCGGGTCGGGCACGAGGAAGGCGTTTTTATCCACAGGTGTCCTTTTTGGTGGTTTTGGTCGAAAAACAGGTGGCCCCGGTTTACAGGGCCATCTATTTGCTCTAAAAGGACACCTATGTTTTGGTCAAGACGCCAAAGGGCCCATGGGGTGTGGCCAATGGCAGCTGAGGGGGCGCCTGACAACTTACGACACGCTCGTGTAAGATGCTCTTGCGTGCTGTTTGCGTTTTTGCTGTTGCGTTTGCATGCCCTTCCGGTACCCCTTACTTGGTGCTTTGGATTCGGCATTTAGGAAGTTGTTGTCTTCTTGCCGCAAGGCCCCCCAAACGACCAATTTGGGTCATTCATGGATCCTGGCGTTGTTTTTTGGCTTGTTCTGCGACTTGGAGTCTTTTTTTTTTTCAGTTTTCCTGTTTCCCATTTGGCAGGCTTGAGGCGGGCAAGCGTCCGAGAGCCGCCAGTCTGGATCCGGGACCTTATCAATGTCCTACCCACTCAATACATGCCAATACATGCCAACCTTTCTACGGGGCGAGGTACGTGTGTTTGCCATATGGTCCATGAATCGTTCTTTGGCAGCCGCTGGCAAAATTGGACCAGTTTGAGCCCCAAAGCCAAAGACGAAAACACAATAGGCAAGTACTGACCTCACGAATGCAAGCTTGCATATCTCCTATGAACTGGCTGCGAAAACAACCACACACCCGGGATACCTCGGGTTTGTGTGGTTTTTGGGCTCATCACTTCTCCCCAAGCATGGATTTTTTTCCGCGGCCGGCGCTGAACGCAGGCTTCGAGCAGCTCTGGGGCTCGGAGATCAACGAGAACCCCCGGCGCTTCATCTTGAAGAACTGCGCCCCGCCCAGGGATCAGGGAGGGTGAGGTCAGTCGGGGGCGGGTGCTGGGGGCTGGGGCCGGTGGTAAGTTTTGTTCTGTCTGTTGGTTTGGTCAGTGTTTGTATTAATTGTGCAGTATTATAGGAACGGCACGCAACCACTTTTCTGAACTTTTAGCCTTATTTTCTGTTTTGCTTCTAGAAGCAAAGCGACGCTTGGACCTATCTATGTAACTCACAAATCCAAAGCATTCATTGGTTTACTCTAATTTTGTTTAAATGATGAGTGCGTGGAGCAAGGCTTCATTCCGGTCCAACATCTGGCATTGTTTCGTTCCGTCAGGCCAGTGTTTACCTGACCTTCATTGGCACGCACCGCGCTGAGGCGCCTGCCGGCACTTGTTCGAGGATGTGTGCTACATCATGGAAGGTGCGGGGGCGGGACCAGCTTGATGAAGTCACCAGCTATCGTGGAAATGTTGCAAATGAAGCATCAACCCTCCCCAACCCCATGTAACCAACCAACACACCTCACCACCCGTTCCCCCCCAATGTGAAAATAAGTAGGCGTGCCCCGTCAAGTGAAGATGTCCCCACATTGTTTCAGACAAGAGCCATTTTCCAGAAACATGGGCCAGAGGATCTCAAAATGGCAGGCGATCAGGGGAATCATCGCAGATGTCCCACATCCATGCAACAGGCTTTGGGCTTTTGAGAGACGGCTCCTTCCTCTTTCCCTATGGTGCCAGGGGGCGGCCGCTGCGCGCGCCACGGCGGACACTGCTCCGTGCCCAGCGGGGAGGTGGACATCTTCGTGGGGGGCTTCCCCTGCACACCGCGGCCCGGCCTGAGCCGCCTTTGAGAAAAACCCACAAGCACGAGACACACACACAAGCAAACAAACAAACAAACAAACAAACAAACAAACAAACAAACAAACAAACAAGCAAGCAAGCAAGCAAGCAAGCAAGCAAGCAAGCAAGCAAGCAAGCAAGCAAGCAAGCAAGCAAGCAAGCAAGCAAGCAAGCAAGCAAGCAAACAAACAAACAAACACACACACAACAAACAAACACACAAACAAAAACACACACACACACAAACAAACACACAAACAAACACACAAACAAACACACACAACAAACACACAACACACACACACACACACACACACACACACACACACACACACACACACACACACACACACACACACACACACACACACACACACACACACACACACACACACACACACACACACACACACACACACACACACACACACACACACACACACACACACACACACACACACACACACACACACACACACACACACACACACACACACACACACACACACACACACACACACACACACACACACACACACACACACACACACACACACACACACACACACACACACACACACACACACACACACACACACACACACACACACACACACACACACACACACACACACACACACACACACACACACACACACACACACACACACACACACACACACACACACACACACACACACACACACACACACACACACTCGTACATGTACACGCATATGTATATGCATTTTTGTGTCGTTTGTGTTGTGTTGTTTGTTTGTTTGTTTTTGGTTGTTTGTTTGTGTGCTTGCTTGCTTGCTTGCTTGCTTGCTTGCTTGCTTGCTTGCTTGCTTGCTTGCTTGCTTGCTTGCTTGCTTGCTTGCTTGCTTGTTTTTTTGCTTGCTTGCTTGCTTGCTTGCTTGCTTGCTTGCTTGCTTGCTTGCTTGCTTGCTTGCTTGCTTGCTTGCTTGCTTGCTTGCTTGCTTGCTTGCTTGCTTGCTTGCTTGCTTTTTTTGTTTGCTTGCTTGTTTGTTTGTTTGTTTGCTTGCTTGCTTGCTTGCTGGCTTGCTTGTTTGTTTGTTTGTTTGTTTGCTTGCTTGCTTGCTTGCTTGCTTGTTTTTTTGTTTGCTTGCTTGTTTGTTTGTTTGCTTGCTTGCTTGCTTGCTTGTTTGCTTGCTGGCTTGCTTGTTTGTTTGTTTGTTTGTTTGTTTGTTTGCTTGCTTGCTTGTTTGTTTGTTTGTTTGTTTGGTTTGTTTGGTTTGTTTGTTTGCTTGTGTGTTTGGTGACGTATCTACGTATTATATATGTATGTATATATATATATATGTATATGTATACGTGTGATGTATTTATTTTGTTAGTTTTCTTTCTTTGTTTTGATTGTTATTTACCTATTTGGTTATGTGTTTTCAATCGGCTGGTTATTCATGTATTGCTATTTATGTTTGCTGATCAATTTAAACATACTTATATATTATTGTTGATTCGTTTAATTACATATATTGTCTATGTTAGTTAATACGCTTTATATGTATTTATGTGTTTGATTTATTGTGATTTGTTCTTTAATTATGTGTACATGTCTATTTCGCAGACATTGGTGTGTATGTGCGTGTGCGTGTGCGTGTGCGTGCGTTTGCTTCCCCAGTTGGCGGGCGCCAAGGCCGCAAAGGCCATCTTGTGTTAAACAAGGCAAGTCCGGTCTGGACTGTTTGTGACCAATCCATTCAGGAAATGAGTTCAACTTCACCCCCGCGACTTGATGATGTTTTCCCTTTTTCAGCTTCTGGTGAAAGGGTTTTTCGATAAAACCTCGAAGCTTCAGTTGGCCGAGGTACTCCTTCTGCAACCCCAAGCGCTTCAAGCGGAACTGCTTCACTGAGCCCGCCGCGGTGCCCTTCTTCGAGATGCGTGGTCTGCCTGAAGGGCCTTAAAGGAACCTGTGATACCCAGCACCTGGGTATGTGTCAGAACAGGGGGACCACTAAAATGTGGTTCCGTGACTAAACTGAACAGGGGAACCTGGGAAAAAAAACAGACGCCCAGTTGGAAAGACAAGCCAAACACGCAGGCGAGAAGCATCAGGAGCTCAATATTTTCGCCCAAGCTGCGACTGAAGAGAGGGGGCATTTTTCCGGAATCTCGCCATTCCGTGGATGACAAAAGCAATTCCCTCTCTTGCAATTTACGACCAAGACGACGTTGGCAAGTTGGGTGGGATGGGAATGGGCATGGGAATGGGCATGGGCATGGGATGGATGGATCGATGGATGGATGGGACTGGCTTCATTGGTTGGGTCCAATCAATATCTGTGCATGTTTTGGAAGGGAATCAATTTCGAGCACCAGTTGTGGCTCATCACTGGACTCGGCCGGTTCAGGGTTGGTTGAGGGTTTAGAGTGGGTTTAAGGTTTCGGTTTTGGGGTTGGATTATGGGGTTCAGGCTTGGTCTAGGTATACCTTTCCTAGAGAGAGAGAGAGAGAGAGAGAGAGAGAGAGAAAAAAAGCTAGAAAGAAAGCAAAAGAAACAAAGAAACAAAAATAAAAGAAAGACAGACAGACAGAGCACCTCGTAACTGGGGTAGTACCATGGTTAGGGCTGGTTGCTTGCCTGAAGTGGATTGAACCTTCACCCCAAAGCCCCCCCCCCCCCCCACCCCCCTCCCCCCCTCCACCCCAACCAACGCCTTTTCTCGTGCCTTTCCGCCTTCCAGCGGGAGGGAAATTCATCGCGGAGCGCCGGCCTCGCTTGGTGGTGCTGGAGAACGCGCCTCGGCGCGGGCATGGGCTTGGGGCGGCGGAAAGGGCCTCTTTTAGGCGGAAGCGGGTTCCGCGCTATGGGATTGCAACCTATAAGGGGGAATTTAGCATGAGTATCCAAGCATGTCAAAGCTGGGTTGTTGAAAGGCAATGATTTGCCCCCTTGGGTGCCAACAGTGGCTCCATCTTGAACAGACAGTTTGCCCAACAAATGCCCCCTCCAAATGAGGTAAGGGAGGAAATTCTTTGGATACCTCAATGCGTCCCCTTGTTCCAGTTCCTTGGATGCCTCAATGTTTCCCCTTGCACCTCACGCAGCTGGATTTTCATTGTTTTTCATTTGCATGGCTGCCCCTCTTGGGTATGTGTCAAAATGGGGTGGGGTGGGGTGGCTGCAAAATTGTGTTTTTTCCCCTACCAGCCCAACAAAAGGGTTCCTTCGCCTCAAAGAAGTCGGAAACCCTAGGTGCGGGGCCTGTTGGCGCCCAACCCGGAGACAGACCATCCCCCCATCGACTTCATCCTGCGGGGCAAGAACCCGGCGCCTTGGCGCGTTTTGTCAGAAGGCTGCTCGGCTCGGTCCGTTTTTCCCGGTGGGTTGATTCAACATGGCCTTGCTAGGGCGTGTGGGCCAAAAACATAAAAACCTTGTTTGGCGCATGTGCAAAGAGAGTATCATGGCCAGGCTCTGGCGGCTATACTCTACTGACATGGATCCCCGGGTTCACCTTTGCGGGGCAGGAACCCCAGGATCCATGCCACAAACCCCCTTAGAAGAATCAAGCGGCATCTGGGAGCGAGGGTGTGGGAGTTGCTGTTTCCAGTGTAGCCGCGAGAGCCCAGCCACGCTTTGTACCGTTGGCCCATCAAAACACAATTTAATGCTTTTCGCCCCACCCCGTGTGGATGGCACTTTTCTCGGTCAAACTCCTCTCCTCGTATTTGCGCGTTAGCGATTTGCTCTCCGGGCATGGGCGCCAGCCGATCTCAAGAGGCAGCGCGCGTGGTACCCGTTTTCAGGTTTGTTGAAAAGGGCTGAATTTTAGGGTACCCCCCCTTCGACACATAGCCTAGTAGGGAGGCCCAAGACGGTGAACATCCACATCATCCAGGGCTTAAGTGTCGTCAGTATGCGGCCTCCTCGACCGAGTTCAGAATGACTTCCCTCGAAGGAACCTGGAAAAAGCGGCGGGGGTTCCTTCAACTCAAACATGAGCCACGAGCAGTATCTTGGGAAGATTAGTTTTCGCAGGGGTCAAGCAGAAGTGTGGCTTCCGCCCTTCTGACTCTTTACCATCCTTGAAGGCCAGGGTTCATTTTGGTCGGCGGGTATCTCATGGCTTTCAGCTCTAGCCCTCGTGGCAGCCATGGACCAAGGGCCACCCAGCCCAGGGAGGGCCACCTGGAAAGCAAGGCCCTTGCCGCCGAGCACCCGCGAGGCGTCAAGACTGGGGTCCCATACAAATTGCTCGGCTTCATGTCGATGTCCTGGCAAGTCGGGCCCAGCAAGCGCCCCCTGTTTCGTCAGACGCACGCCGGCAGAATCGGCGGTCAAGGCCTGCGCGGCATCCGCTTGCTTGCCGCGGGCCGGGCGCGTCAGACGAAGGTCTGGCCGAAAACGCGGGGGGATCCCTTTGGACCCGCCGGACATTGGCGGCTCCTCTGAGTCAGTGCGGGCGATTTTGGAGCTTCCGGAGTGGCGACGCCTGCCTGTGAGGGAGCTGTTAGTACTGCTGGCGGAGGAGCGGCTGACCGCCAGCTTGCAGACCGTTTTTGGGGTGCTCTCGGAGCTGCGCTCGCGGGTGGACGCCAGGGATTTCACCTCCGCCATGTCCAGCTGTTCCAGGATCGATGCTTGGCAAGATGCCTGTGCTTTCCTCTCTGCCATGCCAGTGGCCAGAGTTGCGCCCAATGTGTACAGCTTCAGCGCCAGCATCAGCGCGTGCGGAAGGCAGTGGCAGCAGGCACTGGCCTTGTTCCGGTCCATGCAGGAGGCTGGGGTGACTGCCAATGTTTACAGCTTCAGTGCGGCCATCAGCACTTGTGAGAAAGCCGGGCAGTGGCAAGAGGCCTTGGCCCTATTCCAGGCCATGCCGGAGGCAGATGTGCCGGCCAATGAGATCAGTTTCAACGCAACCATTAGCGCTTGCGAGAAAGCTGGGCAATGGCAGCTGGCATTGGCCCTATTTCAGGCCATGCCGCAAGCACAGGTGCAAGCGGATGAGGTTGGCTTTAGCGCGACCATCAGCGCTTGTGAGAAAGCGGGGCGGTGGCAAGAGGCATTGGCCCTATTCTTTGTTCTGCCAGCAGCACAGATGCAAGCGGACGTAATCTGTTTCAACGCGACCATGAGTGCTTGCGAGAAGGGTGGTCAGTGGCAGCAGGCGCTGGCCCTCTTCTGTGGCATGCATGGAGCAAACCTGCAAGCAGATGTTTACAGCTTTAATGCAACCATCAGCGCTTGTGAGAAAGGTGGGCAGTGGCAGCAGGCATTGAGCCTCTTCCACGCCATGCCCGAGGCAGACGTGAAAGCAGATGGGATCAGCTTCAGCGCAACCATTAGCGCGTGTGAGAAAGTTGGCCAATGGCAACAGGCGCTGGGGGTGTTCCAGACCATGCAGCAAGCTGGGGTACAAGCAGATATCGTCACCTTCAACGCAACCCTCAGCGCCTATGAGAAAGGGGGGGAGTGGGAGCAGGCGTTGGCCTTGTTCCGGTCCATGCAAGAGGCCCGGGCGCCAGCCAACAAGATAACCTTCAATGCCACCATCAGCGCCTGCCAGAAAAGCGGCCAGTGGCGGCATGCATTGGCCCTGTTCCAGGCCATGCAGAAAGCGAAGGTGCAATCTGATGAGATCAGCGCCAGTGCGACCATCAGCGCCTTCGAGAAAAGCGGGCAGTGGCAGCGTGCTTTGGCAATGTCCCAAGCGACGCAAGCGACGCACGCCGATGTGATCAGCTTGAGTGCGACCATCAGCGCTTGCGAGAAAGTTGGACGATGGCAACAGGCAATGGCCCTGTTCCACACCATGCCCCAATCAATGGTGAAAGCTGACGAGATAATCTTCAATGCCACCATCCTTGCTTGCGAGACTGGTGTGAAGTTGTGCAGTGACTGCAGGAGCTAGGCCATTTCCATGTGAAGCACAGGTGGGAGCATGGCAAACCCGCTTTTTGCAATGCGGCGGGCGATCAAGTTGAGCAAAGCAAGCCATGCCAGACGATGTCATGCATACAAAGACAGTCTCCTTACCGCAAGAGTGGTGCGCACTGTTCTGCGAGATTGAGTTCATATGTCACAAGCTTCCTGTGTGGACGTGGCAGATCAACATGCCCCCCCCATTGTCGCAGTCGGGTGGTCAGCAGAGCAATCGAGAAGGTCGCTTGGTCAGCCAAGATGGGGCTGCAACATCACAGTGGCTGGCTGATGTTGGCCCAACAGTAACAATCCCCGACTGGTTGACAACAGGAAATGCATCGCTTTCGGGAAGCACCCTGTCATTCCGCAAGCTTTATCGCTCCGAGCCCGACATCCCCACGGCCCAGAGTGCTTTCCAACTGCCCTTTGCGCTTATGGAGGGCCAAAAGGGAGTGCAAGAGAATGGTTCTGGCTTGAGGGTGCGTGCCCAATGGCCAAGTTCGGCCAATCCCAATGCCGGTTTATGGCGCCTAAACAAAGGTTTTTCTGGTTATGGAACCTGTTCGCTGAGCTGGGCTTGGCGCCATGGGTGGACCCTTGCCCACCATGGTTTGTTGAGCCTGTGGCAGGGTATTCAGGTACACAGTTGAGCAACAGTGGTGCTACAATTGCCCCATTTTGCTTTCACCATACCTTTCTGTACCAGCAAGAGTTGGAATTGTGCATCTACGTCCCTTGTGTGTTCCACCAATAGGTTGGATCCCTAAAGAGATGCAACGCCAACGCTCCCGAGGAGAACCCGGAGGATTGCTACCAGGGCACCGCCCCGAACGCGGACTGGGGCCTCAGCCTCATTGAGGGCTACGGCCTGCGATGGGACGTGTTGTACTCCTACGTGCCCCGGCCGAACAAAGCGCCGAGGTGGGCTTCTCTTCATTAAAAAAAAAAATAACGACGCGCGGAACTCGCGGGTTCAGAGTGGGGAATTAAACATCACCTTCTGGAAAGGCTGATTTGCACTGGGTTTTTCTCGGGTGATGCCTTCCGGCTGGGAATGGAGGTGCGGTTGGGAGAACTGCCTGTTCCCGTGAGCTTGAAATCCTGTTCTGCTTTTTTTGTTTTTTTTTTCCCGCGGCTAGCCTGATCGTCGCCAAGCCCCAAGGCAGACCAGACTGGAGCCAACTGCAATCCCCGCTTCCTGCACGTTGGTTTCTGACGAGCTTTCCGTTGGCTGATTTTGTTTGGCAATTTGTCGGCTTTAGTCAGCCCATAATTGGTGGCTGGAGAGGTGGTTTGGGGATGTGAACCCCCGGTTCTTGTGGGAGAGGAGAAAAGAAGAAAAACAAAAAAGCAGCCCAAACCTCCACACCACCAGTCCAAATCACCAACTAGAAAGAAAGAAATCTACCTGTGAGGCAGAAATTGGCATCATGTCAACACCCGAGTTTTATGCCTCTGGAACTAGCCTCCCAGCAACATCCACCATGGGGTTTGCACTCGCCCATCTTTCTCACCGACTCCTATGTCCAACCCGTGGGTTGGGAAAACCCAAAAGAAGCGGTGGTTGGCTGAAAGAAACGAAGGGGTTTCCTTGCCTGCTATGGGGCAACGGATCTTTAGACTTTTTAATTTTAACTTTTTGGTTGAAAGTTGCAAGAAATAAAGGTGTTTTCCTCCAACCCCGCCAGCAGTTGTCCACTTTTTCCAGGGGCTTAACGGTAAATGGATTCGATTCGGGGCATTGCGGGGGCCCACAGCCGGCGCTTCCGCTTCGAGGACTGGGGCCTGCCGCAGAGCCGGCCCCGCGCGCCCGGGCGAAGTGCATGGGAAGGCTCATGGTGTGGGCCTCTCCTTGGAGGGATCTCTGGGTTTCTCTTGTTCCCCCTCCTGGGTTTCGGAGGGATGTTAGGAATGTGCAGGTTGGACGTCGCCTCTTGCGGCATGTTGGAATGAGTTTCTCTTTGGTGGGGTGATGTTTGCACGAGACATATATGGCGTGTCTTGCACTGGGAAAAGGCGGAGTGGGGCAGCAAATCGGCACGAGACCTATCAGCTGGCCAACATGGAAAAGTGTGCCGGGCGTTTCCACGCGAAAAGGTCTCCTATTTTTGGAAACACCCATGTCATATAGGCCAACATATTCTGTTGTGTTTGACGGGCCGTCCACTGCGATCCTGTGTGTTGGGCACTGACCCCGGGGTAAAACGAGAGATTCCACCCATGAGAAAACGGTCCCTTGAAGATTCACGCAGGCAGGTGAACAACACCATCCCGAGCATTTCCCTGCTGAATGATACTGTATCCGTTGGCCCACTGAAATTGGCTCCTGTCAAATGATCAAGGCGTTTCAGCGGGCAGATGGCAAGACCGCAGGCCATGGTGAAGTGAGTTTCCTTGTGGGGTGACGTTTGAAGGCGTCGAAGGGCCACCCGTTTTCCCGGCTGCCGCGCCGAGGTTTACATCGTCATGGTCCGGGACGACGCCGGTGGGCAGGCAGCGGCCGAGCGAATCTTCGAGGCGAAATTCGACGAAATTCTTCGCTCAGAGGGCTGTGTTTTACGAGCACCTTGGGGTTTCTACAGGTCTGCACATTTATTTTTGGGCAACTTTTTTTTTGCCAACTCGGCCCGTTTTGAAATGGAAAGCAACAGGATGTTTGAACAAGTTGTGTGGGGGGGTGGGCAAGATTGTGGGCACAAAGGTAGGCGTGATCGTGTTCTCGTGAGACTCTGGGCGACTGGGCTCCAGCGTTTCGGGGTTCAAACTCAATCCAAAAAGAAGTGGTTCCCAGATGGCGGTTTTTCTTGAAGCAGTCACAAGGCAAACTCAAGCATGTCGCAAGGGCTCCCTCCCCCATCAAAAAAGGAACAAACATGAATAGAAGAACTAGGGGCTACAAGCTAGCATTAGGAATGCCCCGCCGCTTTTAAACAACTCAGCCACAGCGCAAACTCAAGCATGTCGCAAGGGCTGCCTCTGCTCCCCTCCCCCGGAAAAAGGGGAAAACAGAAAGAAGGGAACAAGCAAGAAGAAGAAACACAGAACCAAACGCTCAATCCTCCCCAAGCAAAACAAAACAAAAACCCAAAACACACACACACACAAAAGAAAACAACGCGGAAAAGAACAGACAAGCAACAGAACGGACTTTCGCTGGGAAGTTCTTCCAGGTGCTCACGGCCAGTTCCGGCCGCCTGCCGCGGGGATCCTGCGACTCGCCAGAGGTTTGGAGGTTTGAGCTCCCCCCCCCCCCTCCCAATTCGGGGTTGGTATCGCTGGTCATGAGCCATGTACCCTGTACTGGGGGTTTAGGCCACTGCTGAAAGGGCCCCTACTAAAGGTACAGGTACAATTTGTAGGGAATATGGAGAGTCTTGATAAGGGCAAGTGTATATGGAGCCTTGTTCTTTATCTTGGCCGAGTTTTAGGGAGAGCTGTGGAGTAATGCCGACCTCGGATGTGTAAACCTGGCGCAATGGTTTTGGGGTGTGTTCCCCCCCCAAAAGTGCTCAGCATCTAAATGGGACATGTCTCCCGATCAACCCGGGGTTCAATCCCCATTGCACCTGAGGGTGTGTCATTTTGGCCCCTCCTTTACACCTCGGGGCCGCCATTTTGATTTATGACTGGAAAGGGTGGAAGGGGGCGTGAGCTGAGGCAATGACTTCATGTTCCCAGCCGCCTGGCGAAGAGATATGGGCGAGGCGCAGTTGGCATAGTCCGCATGGGATTTGTCGGGAACTTCCTTCTCAATGGTGGGTTTGGCATAAATCTCCCTTGAAAAAAACACACCAAAGCGCAGTTGCTGTTTCAGATTGCTGCTGGAGTCGCAGCTAGCGACTTGGTTCAGGAGCCGTTTGAACATCCACATTTCCAGTTTCCTTGGATTGGAGCCCAGATGTGCTTTCTAAGAGGGTTTTCACCACCGCCAAACCACCACCCATCGGGGACAAGGGGGTAGACACCGTTTAAAATGTGGCCGTGCAATCTGTGATTGTTACTAGGGGTTAGTCCATCGTTCCCCGCTCAAAACCTGCAAGCAACGCTTACCCCAGATTTTCCTGGGGAGTCTCGCTCTATGAGCTTTATGCGTTTTGACTCTCTTTGGTTTGGCCTTTTTGGCGGCCCACAAGTTTGGCCAACGGAAGTGAGGAGTGCCCGCCATTCTCCGCGCGCTCGCGCGGGTTTCCCAGGATGGGCACCCGCATCTTGAGTCGGTGCTGCAGCAGTGGTCCGAGAAGCCCGCGCAGAAGGCCACAGGCCGCCGCTTCTTTTTGGGTGGTTTGCTCGCGTGGAGGGTTGCGCCACTTGAGCGCCGAAGAAGTCGAGATCCCGCTTGGCCAAATTGTTAGGGGATAGTCAAGCCGCAATTAGAGCCAACAGTCGACGGATTTTAGGCTCCGCTCACTTGGGAAGTAGGTCATGGAGTCATGACATGGTTATGACTAGCGGTGCCCTGTGAGTAGGTTAGAACCATGTCAATAGTGGAGCTCAGCCTAGTTACCAACCAGTAAATTACGCCGGGAAGGGGTCGGGGGGAAGGTTCAGGGAAAGTTCACGTCCATCCACAGTTGGGGTCCTTTTGGTTGTAACTAGATGGGTTGCCCTAGGTGCAACAAGGTCCTAACCAGATGGCCCGGGCCATCAATTCTTCCAGGCAAACCATCAAAACGGAGACCACACATCAGAGTGTCCCACCTCCCTTGGGCCGGCCCGGTCCGCCGGTGGCGTTTGGGTGAGGCCGGCGCGCCTGCACCAAGTTTACGGAGGCGCTCTTCAGGAGAGATTTTGTTGCGGAGGCGGTTTTTCCGCCGCCCATGGGGCAGAAATGGGAGAGAGAGGAGGGGTGCGGGGGGGGGGGGCCAAGCCCCCATACGGGTTAGCAAAAATCATGTGTCCCCCCATCATTGCAGTGCCCTGTTGCCACCTGACGCGTTTGCCCTTCACCGGTGCCACGTGGGAAATGGAATGACGTGTGGTTGAAGATTCAACTTTGCCAACCTTTGCGCAAAGTGGGTGCGCAAACTTGGGGCCTCAGGGCACCTTTGCGATCTCTTATTTTTGGAGATCCCATGCAGGGTGTGACCGCTCTGGCGGACCACAAGCCTTCCATGAATCATGTTGGTCCGTTCTCCCAAACTGCGACGCCGAACCACGATTTCCCTTTTAGAAATAAAAGGTGACCACCTCTTGGACTGCCATGAGGTGGAAAAAGATGGAACGGCAAACTGACAAATGCAAAACGGTCAAGTAAGCTCGATTCGCTGACATCTGTAGACTGGCGAAAATCCATCCCATGGTCCCCTTTAAGGGAAGCCCCGAACCACCGGTTCGTTCATTCCCAGCGCCCGGACACCGGAGGGGTCTTTTCCTACCGCTTGACCCGCCGACTCCCCGCGAGGACGAAGCGCCAGGAGCTGGGCCTCGACGCCCAGGATCGGGCCTACTCCTCCCAGCGCGAGAGCGGCTGGCTATTTGGCGGGGGGTTTGGGGCGGTTTGGGGCGGTTTGGGGCGGTTTGGGGTGGAGTTGGGCGGTGGAGTTGGGCGGTGGAGTTGGGCGGTGGAGTTGGGTGGTGGTGGTGGTGGTGGTGGTGGTGGTGGTGGTGGTGGTGGTGGTGGGGCTTTTTGTGCCACGAATATGCAGCAGGCTGTTCCGGGCCAGTTGGGTTTGCCGCCTCCCCCCCGGAAGGGCAAAGGTCCCCTCCGAATGGAGCCTAGCGAATCAGAAGGAACCTTGTTGAGACCACTGCAAAAGGAAGCCGTCAAGAAGATCAACACCAAAAATCTTTCATCTTGAGCCACCGCATGGGGCCTCTGCCCAGGTTCCCGCACGGCACGGCGCCTTGGCTCCGTTTTTTTTTTTTTTTTTGTGGGGGTGAACGGGCAGGCTGGAACAGTGGAGTGCGAAATGAACAAACAAGCAAGTAAGAAGGTACCTGCACAGATGGAACAGTAGCTGCGACCAGTTAACATTTAAACGCACACGTAAACAAACATGTATATATTATGCAGTTTGTGATGGTTATTTCGTAGCTTCTGTATTTATTCATTTATGTGCATATGACACATTCTCCACTTACCTTTAGGCTCGCAGGTGCATGCTTCGGGTGAGCAACACCTACAGATGCTCCTTCGCATCGCGGTTATTTCACACAGAATCCGGCGGGGAACCCTGCGCAAATCATAACGAGCTCACCTAGAGGCATACCAAGATTGGAGTTTGTGAGGCAGGCTCACTTGGTTCCTTCTAATCATTGTGATGTTTTAGGCCTGTAAGGCACCTTTTCCATGTTCTCCAGGGCCCTCCTTTTCCCATGATCCCAGGCATTTCTTCTTCCACAGGCCCACCAAACATGGAACCTGGGGAATTAAACTTGGACGATTTGCTTCTGACAGGGACCCTCTGGCAATGTGGCAGGGATGGCACATTTCATATCCATTGTTTTTTCACACGGGCATCATTTCAGTGTGGTGTATATAAATACATACATATATATGTATATATATGTCCATGTGAATGCCGCAACTTGAGAAATAATTGGATGAACAAACACATACGATGAATTACTCACGCACATGCATATATATATATAGTATACATATATATATATATATCTATAGAGATTGACGCACATATAGATATTTACACATGTACGTACATGTATTTGTCAAGGGCGGCGCCATCCCCCCTCCCCCCCCCCCTCTCAGGCTTCGGCACCTTTTTTCGCCCAGGAGAAGATGGTGCAGCAGCTGGACATCATCCACGCGATCGGCGAGCGGCAGGGGCTGGACTTCAATTTCCTGCTCGCCGACCTCAGTCAGCAGGCTTCTGATCGCGAGCGACGGGTTTCTCGGTTTCCCCCCATGACAAAAATCAGACGGGTGAGAAGTTGGATCAGTTGGTTTTGCCTTTAGGGGCCATATTTCTACCCTAGAGGGCTCTATAGATCAAGAATGCCCGGGGTTTCGACACATCACGTGTCTGTTCCAAGGAGCTCTGACACCTGTAGGCATATGTCAACATAGGGAAATGGACCCCCCAAAAGGTGGCCTTTCTCTTTGCTTCCCAGAAGGACCACCTGAAAAGGGCCCTCAAAATCACTCCGCAGCCGAAGCGCGGCTTTGGTTGACCGGGCCCATGGCCCGGTGCGAGCGCCATGGCTGATGTGCAGCAACTGGTGCGGGGCTTGGAGGAGCGGGTGCCTGAACCCAGGCGGGGAGCAACCAGGGCTTTCCATGGTGGGGGCGCCAAGCCGCGAAAGCGGGTCCCTTTCAAACTGTCAGAGAGCCTTCTGATTCTTCCTTTGGTTCTGCAAGAAGCCCCAATCTGGATAAACAACACATGCCGAACCTGACAAGGGTGGTTTCCCGGTGGTCCCCCAAATATACCTATACATATACATACACACACGTATATATATATATAGATATTAATTAATTTGTGTATGCATATGTATACATCTGTAGAAAAGCATACACACATATGTATGTATATATATATATATACTTACTGTTTAAACAGAAAAATAACGGAGCGCTTTTCGCCGATCCCTTTCCCGAGGGAGGCCAACGCCTGGCTGAAGGGCCTGGCGCGGCGCAACCGCCCCGGCGCCGCCGCCGACGCGGAGCAGCTGCTCTTGGCGCTGGGAAGGCGCCGGGCCGCTGGCCGGCGCCACAAGTGACAGGTGTGTTTAGACATGTGGTTTCTGTGACTTTTGTGTTTTAGACTCTCTTTTTTTCTTTTTTTTTTTTTGGGGGGGGGGGGTGAGTGGATCAAAGCACCATGGCTAGCTAGCTGGAATGACGCGATGCATGTTCAGTGGAATCCGGGCTCCATACAATCCCTTTGTGCTTGGTTCGTTCCCCATCAGACTGGCCCCCCCCCCAAAAAAAAAGGTTGCCTTCTTCAACTAGGGTCACTGGGCCACTGGATAAAAATTGCAAAACGAGGTCCACTGTTCCTTTTGGGGATTGGCACGTTGCCGTGGTATGGGGGGGAACCCCCCCCCCCCTACCTCCCCATGATCTGTCAAGTCCTACTTAGAATTCCGGGCCGACCTTCGCCGGGTTTCAGGCACCACTGCGACGTCAACGCCTTTCACTTCAGCACCGTGATCAATGCCTGCGGCCGCGCAGGCGACTGGCCCCGCGCGGTGGCGCTCATCCTGCAGATGAGGGAGTCACAGGCGCTCCGGGCGGCTGGCTGGAATCTTTGGGGCTAAATGGACCTGCCTTCGGGATTGCAAGAGATGACTTCCCTTCAAAAACGGGGTGTCTGGTGGGTGGAAGGCCCGAACCACGCAACACGTCCCAATCAAGTCTCCAGAAATCTTTGTCAGAGAATTGCATCGTGCCTTTCGTGGGTTGCTCGAAAAATCAATCTTTGATCCTTATGTGAGATGGACTACGCTGTGGTGTCCCACATCCGGTTGCAGGTTCCGCTTTCCTCTACCTTGGACGTGCCTCTTTTGTAGATGATACCTCCGGGATGATGATTTTTGGCTGTTTATGGGGGGTGATCAAGGTCTCTTGCTGCACTCCGACCTGGCACTGAAAAGGTGGCTTTCCATGTGGGAAACTGATCCATTGTTGGGACCAGTAGGTGGAACAAGACACGGTATGCTACAACAGCGCCATCAACGCCTGCGCCCGCTGTGACTGCTGGACGTGGGCATTACGGCTGCTGGACATGATCTCGCAGAGCCTTGGCTGCCTGTTGAATCTGTCTAACCCAATATTGACCTTTTTTTTTAAATATGGGGGTGTTCCCCTCCAAAAGTGAACCCCCACTAAAACCAGGAAGACCTCTGGGGTTTATTAATCCGATATCAGCATCATTGGAAATTCGGTGTTGCGAGGGTGTTATACAAACCACAAGCCCCTATTAGAAAGCCATACGGACACAACGATGCAACCCCTACAACAAGCCAAAAACTAAAACAACGCAAACGGACAACACATGTTGTTGCTTCTTGGGTAGCGTTTTTTTCTTGACCAACCACGGGGTGCCAGGAATCAGCTGACCCCCGACCTCCTGAGCTTCAACTCGGGCATCGCGGCCTGCGGGGCGAACTGGCGGTGCCTTGGGGGTTTTGGCTTCGGAAGGGCCAGTCGTTGAGCTCCGTTTCGCTTTTTTTCTCGCCCCAACAGCTGAAAGCTGTGGGGTCTCTGCCCAGTTTTGCTTTGGCGTGGTTTGGGGCAGCGTTCAGGGAGGGTCCCGGAGGGTTTGCAAGGGGTTCCGGACCTAGGCTCGTTTTTTGGTCTGTGTCTTTTCGCGCTGCTTCTGCTATATGCAGATCTGGGCGTCTTCGTCACTAGCTTGGGTGATTTAGATCAATGCCCCACTTGAATCCATCCAAACATGCACCTTCAGTTTCGGTCCATTTTGGCCGTCCCCACGTTTTGTTTTTTGCTGGATGCAGGGGGGGGGGGGCTGTTTGTTTGTTTGTGTTTTTTTTTGTTGGGGGGGTCCGGGGTGTGAGCTTCGCACGGGAAACCGTCCATCTTTTTTGGGCTCGGGGGCTTGGCCCAGCGGCCCAACTGTGGAGGTGCGGCCTTGAGATCCTTTCGGCCTTTGAGGATGCCCGGGCCCAGCCAGACGTCATCTCCTGCAACGCGGCCATGCCTTTCGCCCCGGTTTGGGGGGACACGGCGCTCGTTCTTTGGTGTGTGTGTTTGTGTCTGTGTGTCTGGTTTCCCCTTTGAGAAGCCGTAGTAGTCAAGAACCCTTACACAGCCCACCTGCCATTCAGCCTGGTTTCCTTTTTGGAGAGAATCAGCCTGGTTTGTTTTCTTCAAGGTTTCCCAACAAATCCTTTCTCTTTTTCTGTTTCCTTTTTGTTTCGGGGGGGGTCATTGTTTCACGGTTTTCCCGACTCGTACAAGATCAACCACTCATCAATCACAATGCATGTTGTTGAGTACTAGTCTGGTTTCGAAAGGGTTTCGAGCGCATCACCCAACCCCAACAACCAACCCTGAAAAAAAGGGACGCCCGGTAAACACTGTGGCCGCTGTAAGCGGCGGACCCCCCGCTGTAAACGTCAACCCTGTACTGACATTTCAAGCACAGCAAAGATTCCCACCTTTCTCAGGGTTTTGAGTGCGAGTGTAAAGAAGTTCCAGTAGCTTCCCCCATTTCCAGGGATCGTTTCTCGGATCTCCCACCGATCCGGCCCCCCGCCCACGGATCGAGCTCCGAGCTCCGAGCTCCGAGGCGCTCCTGTGTGCGGGGCGGCGCCTGGCAGCAGGCCTTGGGCCTCATGGAGGCGATGGAGAAGCTGCGGGTGACCCCCGATGCCATCACCTGCGCCTTGGATGGGTCGATGTTCGGCTCCGCGCGATTTTTTTTGGGCCGGTGGATGTGCGCGATTTTTTTGGGGGGGCGAGGTCGGAGGTTTTGTTTGAAGTCCCATGGGAGCAAAACAAAGCGCAGGGAGCTATGGCCATGACCTATGGAGGGCACGCCCCGCTGGTCTTCGGAGAAAAAGGTACCCCTGGAAATGGTGGAAGTGGGACCACCTGGAGTTGTGTATGCGCAAAATTAGGCAAACAAAAACACAGCCCCCCCCCGCCACATCTCCCATTCTTTTTTCAGTTGGCTCTTTTCGGACGTCTCAAATTTCCTTGCTGGTGATCAGTAGCTTTGGGAAGGAACCGGAAGGGGATTCCCCTTAAAGACAGCCAGTCGGACGGCTTAGGGCTCGGCCGGTTTTGTCTCCGTCGCCCCCCCCCCCCGCCCCCGCGCCGCCGTCGCCTCAGGCAGCGTGGCCCTGTCGGGGCTGGCGCAGGCGGACCTGGCCCTGGAGCTGCTGGCCCAGGCGGCGGCGGCGGGGGTGCAGCTGGACTGCCAGGCCGGGGGCTTGGGGCACTTGGAAACTTGGGGCGGGTGGGGGTAGTCCTTGGGGTCCTTGACCTGGAGAGAGAGAGAGAGATATATATTTATATGCTAGAATAGAAGACACAAAAGGCATACACACACATATATATATATATATACATAGATATGTATATATATATATACACACATACACACACACACACATATATATATATGATTCGAGGGTACCTTAGGGTTGGTGCAATTTTCATGGAAGCTAAGACAACCACCAATTCTCAGGATTCCTTGTGGGGATATTTGGGGTCTCTGTTCAAAAACGTTCGCATTGGGGAGCTCACGTGCGCTCACTCATGATGGTCCCTTGCTTGGGGATTCCTGGTTTCTAAGAAAAATAAGTTTCCCCAAAACATGGAAGTCATTGAACCGCTTGCCACCCACCAACCCACTTTGATGCACTTCCACTCCCTTTTGGAAGACCAAAGCTGTTGGAGTTTGCCGCTGCCTTGTGTGAGATCTGGTTGGTTGGTCCCTTGGCGCAGGCTTATGGACTGAGATTCTGCGTGCATGGCCCTCTTGTGTCATCCCTAAATTTGTTTGTTATTTGTGCGGTTTTGAGCATCTTTAATAGAAGGGGAAGAATCCTACTAGTACCAAACAATATGTCCCCCAGCCCCGACGTCCAGAAAATGCAAGCCGCCCTGAGAGAACGAGGTCTCAAAAGGATTTGGTTACCTTCGTTATTGGTCATTCCCCGATCTGGACGGGAAGATTGGGTAGGGATTTCTACGCCTCTACTGCAAGAGTCCAGGGGAGCGTTGTTTTCTTGGGGTTTCCACATTCATGATGACGATGATGATGATGATGACGACGGTGATGATGATGACTTGGAAGAGATGCATGTCGGTCACCGATTTTTGGAGGCTCGATTTGTACTGCTTTTGGAGGGATGAAAGGGAAACTGAAGCACCAGGATGAAATGGGAGCTCAGGATGTAACGACGACGACGGCCATAATGCAAACATAGGTGTCCTTTTTAGGTTAGTTTGGCTAAGAATAGACGGCACTGGTTTAGGTGGGTTTTATCCCATCTACCAGGGAAACCCATCTATTTTTCCCAAAGGCCACCTATGAATGCCAGCCATTTGGACGCTTCTTTTGGCCCTCCTTTCGCTGTGTCAGTTTTGGGGGGCCGCCAGGTCTACACCGGCGCCATGGCCGTGTGCAGTCGGGCCTCGCGGTGGGAGGAGGCCCTGGGCCTCTTTGCCCAGACCGGAAGCGGAGGCCAGCGGCAACAGGTTGGGTTTTTTGGGGGCTTGTTGTGGCTCGGACGGTGCCCGTCGTCCTCTTTGGGGTGGTTTGCTTTTGGAGTCAGCTGGAAATGGGATGGGTGCAGGGAGACTTTGACCAAGCAACATGTATGTCATTTTTGGGAGTGCCCTTTGCATCTTGGCTGAATGGGAACCACAAGGACAACCCAAATCCGTTTTGTTGAGCCGCATAGCAAAAGGACATAGAGCAGGGTCCCTTGAAGGATACATGGCCGGTCAGCAAAGAACAGCGATTTAGAGGACTGCTTGGCAAACCAGTTTTTGGAAGTATCCTTCAAGGAACCCTGACAACCAGACCCCGTCCTCCTTTAGAGAGGCACCAAAAAGAGGCTGTTCAATAGGTGTGGTCAAACGTGCGCTGGCTTGACCCCGGAGGCCGCCGCATGAGTCGGGATGCGGCAGCGTACAATGCCGCCATTACGGCGGCGGGGGCGGGGCGAAAGCGGCTCGGCGGGACGGGGCCGAGCGACAAACAATTGTGACCCAGGATAGACCGATCCAGGATCCACGTGTTTTTTTGTTTTTTTTTTTGCCGGGGGGGGGGTGGGTGGGTGGGGTGGGTGGGGGAAGTAACATACCGCGCTCCCATTGATTTGCCGGGTAGAGTCCAAGCCGGGGCCGGCTCCCAGGTGGGAGGCCGCCCTCGATTTGCTGGCGGCCAGTGGCTCGGGCGATCCCATCGCCGGCTCTGCGGCGCTCAAGGCGTGCTGCGACGCCTCCCAGTGGCAGGCGGGGACCCGCGGAGCGTTGTCCACCCGAAGTGGCGCCTGGGCAAGTCACGCCATGGTCGGGAGACCGGTTCCTTTACCAGGCAAGAGACCCCTTTACTTGGGGGTGAATCGGTTGATCATCCGCCTGGTAATAAGGATCCTCATCCTGGTAGTTTTGACCATATTACCTGCGTAACCCCAGCTGTTTAATTTTGAGCCACCCCCCATTTGATGGAGCTTCCAGGAATTTTAGGGATTACAAACAACCGGTTCCTTTGTTGGCAGTCCGCGATCCGAACGGAGTTTCCTCAAACGGTCGAGTTTTTGGGGTTCCATGTTCATCTGTCAATTTGTATGGTAAAGTAGGACACCGCACAGCAGGTTGACTGTTTGGGGGGGGGCAAATGATTGGGCTTTCCTGTGACCATACTATTTCCTGAGGGATGCCCATGAATGTATTCGATCCCGACTACAATCCCGGATGACTCAAAAACTGCACGTGAGAGGTTCGTTGGTTTTCTCCGGTTTCGGACGGCCACGTTCAGGTAGCCGTGGCCTTGCTCGCCCAGCACATGGAGGACCCTCGGCTCCTGCGTGCCGCCTCCTTCAACACGGTGCTCGCTGCCTGCAGCTGGGAGGCCGCTTTGGCTTTGCTGCAGGAGATGGATGCCAGGCCGCGTTCGAAAGCAGCCAGGGTTCACGATCTTTCCCATCTAAAACCCGCCACCCCTACCGAGGGAAACGAGGGCAACCAGGGAAACTCACCTTAAATGGGCCAAAAGGGGATGCTTAAAACCCACCAAAAGGGGGGCAATCAACAAACTCACCCAAACACCAGTCTGATTTAGAGCGTCTGAATCCATGTTGAGCTAGTGAATGATTGGATGTCCCCTTTAACAAACCTTGCTGCACAGAGGCCGGGGCGTGCTTTGTGAGAAGGGGCCGGAGTTATGTGCTAAGGCATTCAAGTGCCCGTTGCTCCTTCGAATGCTTTTTGTCACTCCAGGTTTTTCATGGCTTCCCATGCTTCTGCTGGTATTTGGCAGTTTGCTTCGCCCTGTTGGATTCAGCCGTGCCAAGGCGGCTACCCACAAGTTGTTGTTGGGACAGGGTTTCCTTTGTACACTTGGGTCTTTGTGAGAGTTCCCCCTGTTCTTGAACATCACTTTCTGGACTAATTCTAGATGACTCTCCTCTTGGCCGGGTGGTGAACTGAGAAACACCCCTTTTCCCAAGAATCAGGGAAGTGGAGGGGCCTTGTCAAGATCGCAGTCCCTCCGATCCCCCAAACGCCTGCGCCACCCGCTGAAAGCCGATGAGTCCAACGTGCAAACCGCAGGCGGGTGGAGAAGGACAGCCTCACCTTCTCGACCGCCAGCATGGTTTGCGAGCAGAGCGGGCGCTGGAGCGAGGCGCGCGCGGGATGATTTAACAGCCATCGACGCCCATCCGAAAATAGGGCGAGCCATTGGCCTTTCTAATCCAAACACCCACCGGCCTCTTTACAACCTGCCAGGAATTGACACAAGGATCGCCGGCCTCTTTAGAAAGTGGGTCACCTTCAGTGTTCAGTGGACCGTTTCCAGCGTTGGACACCACGCTAGCTCGTGGATCATCTTTGGGCGGATCGAATTCGGTATGCACCCTACATTTTGAAGTTTAAAAAACCTAGCACAGCTCGTAAGAACCCAAGGAAGCTTCCTGTGGGCCCTTTTCTTGGGGTGTGGGGTGGAAGTTCCGTGGGGCCACTACAACTGTGTTTGCTTAATGATGCCGGTTCCACATTGCCACAAAACGGGCCTCTGGCTACCAGCGGTTTTGCCCATGGCGCTGCTCCCCACGCCATCCGACTAGGCCTTCCAGCTGCTGTCGGCGCGCCTGGGCTCTGAGGGGCGCCTGCGCAGGCGGCCCTTTGCGCCGCGCACGTTGCTGGCACAGGCGGGGGTGGGGGGGGGGGGAGGGCCGGTGCCCGTGTATCCCTTAGGTGGTGGTTTGGATTGGAGGTTTTGGACATTTGAAGCCTTGGTTTTTGTGGAGGGCAAATGGGAACCCCCTCCTTGGTCACCAAACCACCAATCCAAACCACTAACCAGAGGGATGCTGATTAGAAGAATAATCGTGCCACTCCGGCATCCATGAGTTCGTTTTTGGGTAGCGATCCAGTTTTGAGCAGAATTCAAGGCCGGGTTAGGAGTGGGTGCGAGATGAACTTGCAATAGTAAGTCCAGAATTCCTAGGCTGCCTTCCAGATGGTGGACAGTGTGGGCCCTCAGAACTCTTCTTTTGTCCCTCGGGCTTCCTTCCCTTTCCTCAGCCTTCCTTGCATTCCTTCGGTTGTTGTCCCTTCAGTCCCTTGAGATTGAGAGGCGCTGCGGAGCTCATTTCCGGCCGCCCATGTTCCGCTCTCCCCCCTTTCTGCCTTGGGCGACCTTCGGGTTGGCTTTCAGTGATCAGGGTTTTTCTCCAGGCTGGTTGTGAACCTCCCCTTCCATGGTGCTTCTTGCTTGAAGTTGTTTAAGCAGTCATCACTTAAACAATTTGAAAGCTGGCCAGAGCCTGACTGTCTAAACAAATTTGTCGCCGGGGCTTGGGTTAGCAAGTGGGTCACTGCCAGAGTTTTAAGAAAGCTAAGTCCAGTTGCCCCAGTTTTAATCTACTAAGTGGGTTAACCATCCGAAACTCACTCCTCCGGCCATTTTCCGGTTGGTATCCATCACCCCCTCATGTTCCCCACTGCACTCGCTCAGGTCCCAGGACCTCCTTGGAAGATTTGGTTCCGTTTGCAGAGCCCTTCTGGGTTGCTTCGTTAGTCTGAGGGAGTGTAAATACGGGGATCCTCTGCGGTTTTTTGTATTACACCCTGAGATTACACCCTTGAGAGATGACCCGGAATGGTTCAAAATAACACGGTTAAATCCGGAAAGGGTGAAATTTACAGAAACCCACAGAGGATCCCTTGCCGCACCTTCGCCTTCCCCGCCCCACGCTTGCCGCCCCCCGCAGCTGGCGCCCGGCGCGGGACGGCGCTCGGAGCTGCGGCGGCTGCTGCGGAGCTGCGCGCGGGAGGCCACGAGCGTGGTGCGGGTCAATGGGGTGAAGGCGAGCCGCGCGGTGGTGGAGGCGCGGCGTGTTTGGGAAGGGGGTTTGGAGGGTCCCTATGTGTGGGGTTGTGGTTTGATTGATTAAGCATGGCCTTTCGGCTGCCAAGTTTGGGAGGGGTTTCGGGGTGATGGTTTGTGAAGTGGACATGGTAGAATGACTTGGACTTAGGAGTTGCTTCAGAAGAGGACGGATCTTCTCAAGGTTTCCTTAAGGTGAGCTAAAATCAGCCCTGCCGTGCTAACTAACCCCTTTCCATTTCGGGCTTCGGCAAAACCTCAGGCACGGCGACATGTTCCTAGTGCAACCCATGTTGCACGCAGCCTGCTATCGGGTTTGGCTGGCGGCTTGGGTGTTGCATTTTCCGCTTGTGTCGAGTGGCAAGGCCACCCCGCGAAGTTCCGAGCCATGCGCTGGGATTCGGCTGTCCCTTTTGGCTGGCTCCCAGATTTTCAGACGCCTTTGCTTCCAGGGCAGGCCGAATTCGCGTGTCAGGAGCTGCGGAAGAAGGGGCGCCTGAGTCCGGTGCCGTGGTCTGGCTCCGGATTCTTCGTGCGTGATTGTGAGGGGGACAAGGACCGGGCAGCGGACCTTGGGTCATCGTCCGGGTCAAGGGACGGGGTTGTTTGGCATTTTTCCCATGGCCAAGTCAGCATATTCCCAGCGAACGAGGACGCCCAGCAACCAGCTCTGAATGCAACAAGAAGGGCATAACGCTTGTGTAAGTGGCATACACACTTCTAGAACGTACCCCCATCCCCTTCTACACCATGTTTTTGTTTTTTTGGGGGGGGTTCGCGATGCTTTAGGATACAGAATTTGCGAAGAACCCTCCAAGAAGGATCTAAGAGCCAATATGGCCATGGGGCATGACCTATGGCCGGCTCCATTTTTTGGGGTTCATGTATCTCCCTCCTCGTGGGCCCTGATTGCCAGCCAGGGGTGGGGATGGTTCGGTCCAGGACCTCAGCTGGCTGCAGCTCACCGGGGAGTTGTACTTCCAGGAGCGCGGTGGTCTGCCGGCCTCCGTCATTCTAGGGGTTGCTTCCTAGGGGTTGATTCCAACCGTTCTGTTCAACCATCGTTCTTTTCACAAGCCGGATCTGTTTCCAACCTGGGTTTTTGGATGGTTTCCTGAAAAGAAGGATCCCTGGAAAGAATGGGGAAGGTACCCCTAGAGTAATACCAAGAGAACATACAATGGGAAGTGCATAACTACAGTGGCTGCGGGGATGGGAATTTAACCAACTTGAGTAAGACGCCTCTGCAAATTAGGAGGTCCACGTCCATGGTTGGGGGGGGGTGGGCCCTTTTCAGGAGGCCACCTCCCAGCTCCCCGCCGAGCTCTTGAAGCGAATGGCCGAGGGAAGTGAAGGAGGCGCCAGGCCTGGATGTTGCCCAAGGAGCCAACGGGTGAAATTGAGGTCAGCCAGTGGATTGCAACCACGGTGATGACGGTCAAGGGAACCAGCCCAAATTCCCCCGGTTGCAGCCATGGGTGTGAGCCACTTACCTGGCTTGGCCAGCCCCCCTCGGCGTGTTTGGAGGTCGGATCCGGGGAAGGCGACCGCCCTAAGCGTCCTGGACCTGTGCGCGGCCCCGGGCAGCAAGAGCACACAGCTGGGCAGTTGCTCGGCCAAAGAAAAGTTTGGGCACAATCGGATTGAGCCTCGGCCTTGTGGTGTACCCTCCCGCTAAAATAGAAGTCGATTGGAGGTCCTTTCAAGGAGTTTGATCTCGCAGAAGCATCAAAATCATTAATGTTTAGTGTTTGTTTTTGTTTGCTTCTTGTGAACTTTTGGATGGCCCCACTATCTCCCACAACCATGTCCTCCTTTCGATGGGAGCTCCGCATTGGTCGCACAACCATGGTGACCATTTTTGTGCGTGTGTGTGTGTGTGTGTGTGTGTGCGCGCGTCTTTTTTGAGTGCACTTTTGTTTGACGGTTTTAAAGTGGAAGTCAAAAGCAAACCCGAAGCCACTTTGGGTTTACACCAATTTTACATGCCCCCCCCGCATTTTCCCTATGAAAACCCCCCCATCGGACCCATCGACCGAGCCAGGTTGGCTCATGGAGCGGGGCCCAAAGAACCTCCTGGTGGCCAACGAGCCCAAGGAGCCGCGGGCGCGGAAGCTGCAGGCGGCCTTGCTGCGGCTGGGGGCGCCTCGGTTTGAACTCGGTTTGAGCCACATCGGATGGGCCGGATGGGTTTTGACCCATGTGAGGCGTGGGGCGAGGGGCAAACGAGGAACCATGGTTGCAGCCTGCTTAATGGGTTGATAGGGCACGGCGGTGTTCAATTGTTGGGCCCATTTTGTTGCAGTATTGATGGCTTAGTTTGCAGGGGGGCACCCTGATCTTTGCATCCTGAGCATTAAGCCAGCATCTATGAAGCGTGGCGCTGCTCTCTCGGGAAGCTCCCCTCTACATGGAAGTTCGCAAGCTCCCCTTGGAGGACACACTAGATGGGTTTTGCGTTCCATCTTCTGACTACCCTCATTCAGATTCCAAGTTTCGGGTTGGGAGGTTTCCGCTGGGTTCCCATGGGCTCAACCAGTGCTTTGCTCGTCTGATAGGCGTGGGGTCATTCACACCCTACCCCAAGGGGAGATGGAGGACAAGCTGCTTATTTTGAGGCATAAAAGCAGAGATGGAATCCTGGCTTCTCATTTGGGTATGGGTCAAAAACACCCAGCAGGGGTTTCCATTTCCCAGGGCAACCTATTTTGGGTCCGATTTTTGACCCCCCACCCATCTCATTTGCCGCGAGGTGGTGAACTGCTTGGCCACCGGCGCGGATGGCCGGGCCTTGGGGGACCTGGCGCCGGAGGCCTTTGACGCGGTGCTGGCGGATGTGCCCTGCTCCTGCGAGGGGAACGTGCGCAAGGCGCGGGGGGGCTGGGAGGCTTGCGTGGAGGAGGTTTTTCCATGGTTCCATGCCGTGGTGAGCATGCCATTTTACTCTGGCAAATCTCGAAAAAGGGCCTCTCCCCTTGAAGGCAATCCGTCGTCCTTCTTTTGGGTTGGGTTCCCACCAAAAAATGGATCAGAATTGGGCGACCCTTTTGAAACCAGGCAGTAACCAGCACACATGAGGCGAAAACCCGGTGTCAACAGTTGACCGCAAAGCCAGGGAGCCCTCTATAGGGTCGTATCGCGTTGTCTTGGTTCCCTGTTCCCTGTAAGAATTCCAAACGACCACTCCCAAAACAGCGCGCGCTCCAAAGTGCGACGCTTGTTTTGGAGTGGGACCCTTTCCAGGGTGCAGGGTGATCCCAAAGGGAAACCGAAGGAACCACCGAAGCCCATGTCGAAAGACCTGCTGACTCGGCGTTGCTATCCATACAGCAAGGTCCCTCTGAGTTGGTACTGTTGCTTATTGATGTCGACCAGAGGTGTGTCTGATTTTTTCCCATTAATGAACACCCCCTATTCATAAACCCCTGTTTATCAATATGGGGGTGTCCCTGGTTTTAGTGGGGCTGGTTCACCTTTGCAGGGGAACACCCCCCTATTAATGAACTGGGGTTGATGAATGGGGGGTCAACATTCGGTGGTTTGACCATGGGGGAGATTTCACGGGTAAGCAGCGCATCCGGTTGGGCAGCAGGACGCCACCTCCATGCTCCGCGGAGGGGCGGCAGATGAGGGGCCGTTGATGCGCCAGGAGCGGAGGTGGTTGGAGGGTCATGGGCGTGTCTTGTTTTAGTGGTAGTTTTCCAGGAAGGGGTTAACCCCTGAATGGGCTTTGGTTTCCCTTCGGTTTCAGTCGAAACCAACTCAAAAAGGCTCGCCGAAACGAATCGTCCTTTGTGGAAGAAGCAACCATGGCAGGTAGTTTTGGTAGTTTCATGGCTTTCTAAATGGCTTGTGCTGAATGGTGCAGTGTTTGGGTGGGACATGACCCGAAGTGCGCTAATCAGCAGAGGCCTTCTTATGAAATACACCAGGTTCTTTTACCCATGGTTTCGTTCGTGGTGAAGCTGTAGGCTCATCTTGGATGCAAGTGGACAAGAGATTCCCACCCGCTTCAATCGGAATCTGAAGCCAAGATGGTTATCCCGTTATCCCAGAACTTCCATTGACCATTCCATTTCTCCGTGTAAGCTTCCCTTACAGTGGGATGAAGTTTTGCAGAACAACAACCCAGTTGTGCCCACGTCCCCCCTCGCCAACAAAATCACAGCAAATCTAGCATTCTGCCCAAGCGACTCCTCCCCCTCCCTGCCTCCCCCCACAAAAGCAAGAGCGAGAACAATCTCCCCCCCCCCACAAGAAAAAGAACAATCCCTCTTCCCTCTTTTTTTGTTGACCCCCCTCCCCCTGACCCCTCCCCCTGACCCCCCCTCCCCCCAACAAGAAACACAAGACCAACAAAAAAGATTCGTGACCACTGCAAACAGAGAGCAAAGAAGCAAAGGTCACGTTTAACGAATTGGGCATTGTTGACCGCTGGAACTCCCATTTTCTCGGGGCCGAGCACGATTCGGGCGAAGCAACTGGCGGCCAGGAGCTGCTGGAGTGCCAGCGGCAGCTGCTGCTCAGCGCCTGGCGCGCCTTGAAACCGGGCGGCTGCTTGGTGCCGCTCGCTCGGGGGGGGGGGGGGCAGGGTTGGGCTCGGAAGCCGTGGGGGGGAGGGGGGAGGTTGACGCATAGGGGGAGGTTGACGCATAGGTTCCCTCATGGCCATGCCCAAACACCCTCCCGGTGGTTTTACCAGGACCGATTCCCGGAACGCCGAACGGTTCCATGTGTCAATTGGTGTGTGTTGAGTAACCAAGGTATTCCACCTGCACCTTCAGCCGCTGGGAGAACGCGGACCAGGTGCAGCTGTTCCTGGCGGCGGTGGACGATGCCGAGCCCGTGGACGTGGGGGAGGTGCTGGGCTTGGGTGGCCTGGCGCAGGACTTGAAGCCTAAGTGTTTTTCGCTGGTTTTCCGTCATCTTCCCTTTCAACCAGCCAAGCTTTTTGCAGGGGTCTGTGGTTTGGCGCACTTTTGGACCCGTTGGGACAGGTGTTTTCTTTTGGGAAAGGCGGCTCGCATGCCACGCGGTTTCGAAAAAAGGTCTCCGTTTGTTCGGAAACCCCTTTGGCAGCATCCCTGGCGTCATCCAAGCCATGCTCTGTGCCAGTCATGGCTCGCGGCCCGCCGCTACAAGCAGGTACTGAGCTAGGGGGCTCAAGAAAGGTTTCGGTTTTCCTGTTGGTTTCCATTTAAAGAAGTGTGACAACCAGTAAGGTCCAGCAGGGCTCTCGGGCTTTCAGATCCTTCCGCACACCTTCAACGTGGAGGGCTTCTTTGTCAGCTGCTTCCGCAAGAGAAAGCGGGAAGACTCTGAGGGGAAGCAAGATGTGCAGGAAGGCGCGGGGTCCGGGGAGGGGGGTCCGCGGGGGGGGGGGGGGGGGGGAGGGGGGGAAGGGGGGGGAGGGGGGGAAGGGGGGGGAGGGGGGAAGGGGGGGGAGGGGGGGGGAGGGGGGGAGGGGGAGGGAGGGGGAGGGAAACTGAAATTGGCATGCAACCTGGGCATACGAAAATGGAGCATGGACTGCGATGAATGCTTTCCTTTGGCCGGTTTTTGGAGTTTATCATGGCCCGCATGCATGTGCACCAGGTGTGCGCTAGTTGTTCCCTCGGTCTGAGGATGGTGGCCTGGCCACCCAGGCAAAGTTGAGTCCCGCTTCGTTGGCACAGTTGCTGAGAGAGAGAGAGAGAGAGAGAGATAGCTACTTGATGATCCCCAGCTCTTCCCCTTCACCCCCTCCTTGCAACAAGAAGAGGACGGAAGGAAATCAACGTATGCCCTTAATTCACAAATCGCGTTGCAACCGTCCAACCTGGGTCTTAACAAGGCTTGCTTCGCCCACTTGAAGTTCGAGGCCACATAGGCGACCAAACATAGGCCAAACATAGGCCCTCATCCATTCCTCGGCTGGTCAGCCGGACTCGCCCCAGCAGGCGGCCCAAAACGACCCCGGCTGCGTCCCTGGCCCAGGTGGGATGGCGCTTGCAGCGCGCCGGGGTTTGCGGGTGCTGGGCCCTTCGGAGGCCCAAGAGGTGCAGAGCCTGGCGGAGGAGGTGCTGGGCTTCTGGCCAGGCGAAGGAGGAGGGGGGTGGGTGGTTTCCCCTTTTTTTTTTTTTTTCCTCCCCTTTTCGCAACATCTGTGTCTCTCTGTGTGTGTGTGTGTGTGTGTGTGTGTGTGTGTGTGTGTGTGTGTGTGTGTGTGTGTGTGTGTGTGTGTGTGTGTGTGTGTGTGTGGGGGTGTGTGGGGGTGTGTGGGGGTGTGTGGGGGTGTGTGGGGGTGTGTGGGGGTGTGTGGGGGTGCGTGGGGGTGCGTGGGGGTGCGTGCGGGTGCGTGCGGGTGCGTGCGTGCGCGTGCGTGCGTGCGTGCGTGCGTGCGTGCGTGCGTGCGTGCGTGCGTGCGTGCGTGCCTGCGTGCGTGCCTGCCTGCCTGCCTGCCTGCCTGCCTGCCTGCCTGCCTGCCTGCCTGCCTGCCTGCCTGCCTGCCTGCCTGCCTGCCTGCCTGCCTGCCTGCCGCCTGCCTGCCTGCCTGCCTGCCTGCCTGCCTGCCTGCCTGCCTGCCTGCCTGCCTGCCTGCGTGCCTGCGTGCCTGCGTGCCTGCGTGCCTGCGTGCCTGCGTGCCTGCGTGCCTGCGTGCCTGCGTGCCTGCGTGCCTGCCTGCCTGCCTGCCTGCCTGCCTGCCTGCCTGCCTGCCTGCCTGCCTGCCTGCCTGCCTGCGTGCCTGCGTGCCTGCGTGCCTGCGTGCCTGCGTGCCTGCGTGCCTGCGTGCCTGCGAGCCTGCGTGCCTGCCTGCCTGCCTGCCTGCCTGCCTGCCTGCCTGTGCTGCGTGCCTGCGTGCCTGCCTGTGCCTGCGTGCCTGCGTGCGTGCCTGCGTGCCTGCCTGCCTGCGTGCCTGCGTGCCTGCCTGTGCCTGCCTGCCTGCCTGCCTGCCTGCCTGCCTGTGCCTGCGTGCCTGCGCCTGCGTGCCTGCGTGCCTGCGTGCCTGCGTGCCTGCGTGCCTGCGTGCCTGCGTGCCTGCGTGCCCTGCGTGCGTGCTGCGTTGCGCGCGCGTGCCTGCGTGCCTGCGTGCCTGCGTGCCTGCGTGCCTGCGTGCCTGCGTGCCTGCGTGCGTGCCTGCGTGCCTGCGTGCCTGCGTGCCTGCGTGCCTGCGTGCCTGCGTGCCTGCGTGCCTGCGTGCCTGCGTGCCTGCGTGCCTGCGTGCGCGTGCCTGCGTGCCTGCGTGCCTGCGTGCCTGCGTGCCTGCGTGCCTGCGTGCCTGCGTGCCTGCGTGCCTGCGTGCGTGCGTGCGTGCGCGTGCGTGCGTGCGTGTGTGCGTGCGTGCGTGCGTGCGTGCGTGCGTGCGTGTGTGTGTGTGTGTGCGTGCGTGTGTGTGTGTGTGGCGTGCGTGCGCGTGCGCGTGCGGTGCGCGTGCGCGTGCGCGAGCGCGTGCGCGTGTGTGCGTGTGCGTGTGCGTGTGCGTGTGTGGGTGGATGTGTGTGTGGGTGTGTGGGTGGTGTGTGGGTGTGTGGGTGTGTGGGTGTGTGGGTGTGTGGGTGTGTGGGTGTGTGGGTGTGTGGGTGTGTGGGTGGGTGTGTGGGTGTGTGGGTGTGTGGGTGTGTGGGTGTGTGGGTGTGTGGGTGTGTGGGTGTGTGGGTGTGTGGGTGTGTGGGTGTGTGGGTGTGTGGGTGTGGGTGGGTGTGTGGGTGGGTGCGTGCGTGCGTGCGTGCGTTCGTTCGTTCGTTCGTTCTTTTTTTTTTTTGGGGGGGGGGGATTGGTGTATTGGTGATTCTACCCCTTTTTCTCCCTCCGGAGACGCAAGATCTGGAGTCCACCCTTTGGGTCATGCAGGTTGAGTCTGCAAAGCCAGGTGCCCATGGGAAATTCTGGCTTTCCCACAAGGCCGAAAGTCGAGCCCAGCCGTCTCCTCTGGCTCCATGCACCGCAGGAGACGGTGAGGAGGTTCTAGCGGAGAGCAGCGAGGGGGAGGTGTGGCTTTTGCCCCCGGCTGCATGGCAGGAAGCAAGTTCCCGCCTTCTCTCGGCTTTTGGAGGGACCTTCTCTTGAAAGAGAACCACCGAGAAAAGGCCGCCCTTGTTTTCCCATGGCTGGAGGTCGGAGGTCGTTTCGAGCCCTCGGCTCGACAGGGCGGGGCGAACATTCATGAGAGTTTGGAGAAGCAGGGAAGGACCCTTTACAAGGAAATCAAATGGAGTTTCCAGGTCTTTAGGTTTTCAAATTTGGGGTCAATGTCTCGATGTGCGAGCCCTCGAAAATGGTAGCTGATTTCCAGAATGCCCTTTGGCAAGTGCAGCAGTAAGGAGTTTCATAGAACTCCATTGGGGAAGGGTCGAAACATGGAATTGGGGGAACTTTCTTCCCCGCCCTCCTTAACTCACTCCCTGGGTTTGCCTTGCAACTGTTCGGGAAGGACATTTTAGTCTCACTTCCTGAATTGCCGGACTTCATATTACTTTTGGGACCATTTGGCGGTTTAGACGTTTTTCGGCCAATCTACTCAGGAAGCGAGTAGTGGTAAACAAGTCAGCGGGTCAGCGGGGATGCACCCGTGGGGCGCTCGCGAAGCGCTCGCGAAAGCCGCGGTGAGGTCGGCCCCCTGGCCGTTTTGGCGGACGTGGCCCTGGTGCCGGGGCTGCTGGTGGCGCGGCGTGCCGGCGCGGACGGCGGCTGGGATGGGGGGTTCCCTATGGTTGCGTGTGTGTGTGTGTGTGTGCTTTTTGAGGGTACCTATGTCACTTTGGTTGAAGGGGGAAGCCAAAGGGAATGTTTTGGATCAATCCACACACGCATATGTATCTATATGTGCGTCGAAGTATACATATTCTAGGCTTTCTCAAGAGACCTGTCGCCAGCCCTGATTTATCAGTCACTTATCTGGCCATGCCAGCTTTCAACCCTTCGCTAAGGTCCAGTGTGGTCAAACGTCGTCACTTCGGCCCTGCCAAAGTCCTTCGCCTAAGGACCCTGGGAGCTCACGGCAGATCTCGCGCTGCTAGCAGGGACCCGCGGCAAGGTGCGGAGGAGCCGCCAGGAGTGGACGCAGATGCTGGCGGCCAAGGCCGGGCCTGGAAGAGTTGAAAAGAGTCGCGTCGCTCTTTTTTTGTTGTATTTGTGGAAGCGTTCTTTTTCTTCTTCTTTTTTTGTTTGTTTTTCGGGAAAGTGACAATGTTCTTCCATATCAACGTGACATGAAAGTGAATATTTGCACCGGGTTCATGTCCACCAGCCGATTGTTAAACCCGTTCGGGGTGCGACCGGTGATGCCATTCCTGGCCCGAAGCACCCCTCGAACAAAAGGGTTCCAGGAGCCCCGGCAAAAAAGCACACATTTCTGGGCCTATTGACCCCAAAGCTATGGGCGCTCTTTTTTGGGGGGGAAAAGACGGGATTGTTGGAGGGATTTTTGCTGGAGGGATGTCCCTCGTTTCTGAGCTGATTTTTTTTTGGGGGCATCGAAACCTCTTCGCTCCAGGAGGCCGGGGGCCAGTGGTCGCCCTCCCGCTCCCAGCGCCGGACCCGGAACCTGGCCATCGCCGAGGCGGCGAAGTAGGTCCGCGCGGATAGGCGGAGAGTAGGTGGGACGGGGGGGGGGGTATGATGGACGCATAGGGTCTGTATTGCAACCTCCTTCTTTTTATGGTAATACGTTATTGTAATTTAGGGTTTTGGTTGCAACATGGACTCTAGGTGTTGAGGGGGGGGGGGGGGGCGGTTTCATTTTGGCTTCCCTTTTGACGGTGCCTTTTTTTGGTTGAGGCTTGCTTAGATTCTCTCTTTTTTTTGCAGGGAAACAGAAAGGACAAAGCCAACAACCAAACCAATCTTGTTCAGGTGATGCCCACCTGACACCGGCTGCGACGAATGCACTTCTCGTTGGCCAAGGAAGCACGAGACTGACCAAGACGACTGCCTGAGGAGTCTGGCACGGTGCGCTAAATAGGATCGCATGGCAAGCAACGAAGAGCAAGGATCCCTGCTGGTGACTTTGCGCGCCTTGAAGCGGTGCAGCCAACTCTGAACGATGCAGAGCGAGGCGTTCTGTTTGGGGGTCATCAACCCCATGACTGTGACGTCCCTTTGAAGGGCGATCCACTCACTTCGGGCGTGAGGTGATTTATGGCCGGCTGCACGACATGAAGAACAACTGTCTGTTCCGTCAGGCTGCCACGATCTACACCTCGACTTCTTGCTTGGATGCTGGCGATTGAATCATGAGGGCTATCCTGTTTGGAGCTCTTTAAAATGCGCAGCTTCTCGATTTTTCCTGTTCCAGCGCTGAGCAAAGCCGGGCTAGCAGCCAAAGGCTTCTAGTAAACGAAAGGCCCAAGATGGCCCTTTGTTCAAGCATGAAGTCGCTATGGAGATGGCGGGCGCAGGGAAAGGAAGAAACGTGCCGCTGTGCTCGCACCTGTTTCTGCTGTGCATGTGTTATGGGAAGAATCCTTCTTGGGTCATGGATGCAACGTTTGCGGATGCCAGGTGTCGCGTGGGGCCTGGCGCGATGATGGCACTCAGCTCAGTGGTGCCCGAGACGTTTGCCTGTCCCGGTGCGTGTCTGGTTCGAGGTGCTACCTGGGCACCAGGAAGTCCCCAACCCCATTTCACACTGATAGAAGGATGCCTGAAGGGGTTAAAGGGTTAATTAAAGTATTTCTAAAGTAAAGCATGAAGTAAAGCATGGCCTTTCCACCACAACCTGCAGTTGGGGCAATCGGAAACCACAATCGTTCATGTGGAGGACCTGTTTGAACCGGGTTCACAGAAATAAAAGGATGCATCTGGGCTAGCCGACCCAGAAAACATTCTTCAACTGATTGAGAGGATTTCCCGCCAAAGGCAGGTGGTTTTGGGATGAATTCTTCTACCAGAGCTCGGGAGTTCTAGCAAAAGCCGGTAGTTTTGGGATGAATCGCTCGGTTGAGCCGGGGCTTAAGGTTTGCAGCGCGGGCCGAGGCAACATCCCGACCCTCACCACGGGGTGCCACTTCTATAGCTTCAGCCGGCACCGGCTGCTGCTGGGGGAGGAGTGCCTGCGCTCCTGGGATGCGTAGAATGCGAAGGAAGGAGGTCAAGTAGAGGGTTGCCCGCGAAGTTGCGGCTGAAAGTGCCCAAGCAATGGGCGGCCAAGCGATGGCGAGAAGCGTAGTCGGCACCCCTTATTTCACAGTGCTCGCAGTTTTTGTTGTTGTTCCCTTGGTTTGGCGAGAGCGCTTCATTTCTGTTTCTGGCGCGAGCACGCGTTTTGTGTTGTCTTCTTGGTTGCTGTGTGTGCGCGAGGGGTCGGGGCTGGCCTTTACTAAGTCGGGCCTCCGACGTGTCTAGGCCTCAACGGCTTCCCCATCGAGCAGTTGAACCTGGGCGCCTCGGCCTCGCTTCGGCTTTTTCCTTAGTCGGCGGGGCGAAGACGTGTGCGATAGGTAGGGAATGAGTTGGAATGAATGCAAAGAAAACCATCCCCTGTGGTTTCCTTTAAGGGAATCCCCAAAACCGGTTCATTTAGTCAGCAGCCGGACTTGGTCATCCCCTACCTATCATAGCAGCAGGAGAATTGGTGGTTTCGATTGGTGGCTCGGCACCCAGAAAGGTTTGTCGGAGGGAGCCCTTGAACCTGTTGTTTGAGTTGCGGGGATGCAACTGGGGAGTTTGTTAGTATTCTCAGCCTTCGCGACTGATTTGGCATGCATCTTGCACATGTGGCTTGCCACATTGGATTTTAAATGGGTGTTTCGAAACGGACGCAGCTGGCTGGTTCCTCGGTGGTTTCTCTTCCAGCTCCAAAAAGCAGATGGGGACTTTTCGCAGCCCAAAGCGTCAAAGGGCACTCGGAAAGGGACCTGGAAAGGTGAAGTGCCATTGGATTTGGTGGATTGCACATCTTCCCCTTTTTGTAAGAGACTTCCAACTGGCAAACTTGAGGGATCAAACCATTTTTGTTGCGGAACCGGGGGTGTTGGCACATTTCGCGGAGAGCTCCCCCGTTGCTCCTTACAGCTGGTTGATGTGCTGTGCTGGGTATCTCTTTAAGGTTAGGTTGCCACTTTCCATGATGGGAATGGGACTACGGGGTCCACCACAAGTGTGATAGATGCATTAGGACGACCAATGGTTTCCCACTTTCCTCGAAAAGGTTTGCTGGGACTACCAGTGGTTTCCGATTTGAGTATGGGTCAAAATTAGACCACTGGGGAACGCAGGTTTAATCTTTGGTTCCATGTGCCAGGGTTCCATTTTTGTTTTTGACCCACAGCCATTTGTCTGACACGAAGAGGGTCGCGGATGTCCCCCCAGGGCCACGGGTTTCGGTCGCGCCAGATGCCCACACGGAGAACGAGCGGGTCTTCTTGGCGGGCAACGCCATGTCAGTGCCGCCGGACAAGTGAAACGTGGCGCTTCTGGGGGCAACACATTGCGCATAATTTGTAGTTGGCTTCACAGGAAGCCAAGAGGGGATTGAAAAAGCAGCAAACTTATTGGCAACTCAGTGGTAGTTGACACACATGTCGGGCAACAAACACTTCTTGCGTCAGGAGGATTTGGGCATTAATAGACACATGTGGTTATAGCGACGCTTCTTCGAGCATTTCTTGGAATTTGTCGTTGTAAAAACAGTAAACGTAGAGGAACACTGTGACTTTTCTGGTGACACCCTACCCAGCACCCAGTCATTCCAGAGAGGTGAAGAAGCCTTAAGCCCGGTTCATGCGGACGACCGCGCGAATCCGAGGGGATCCGGCGGGTGATGTGACCGTACTGAGTTCGTTCCCAACACTCGGGGGACCGCCGCTGCTGGTTGTTTGGTCCTGCGGATGGATCCCAACTTGACATTGCGCGCGCAAGTGTGGGTCATGGGAACCTCGGATCGATCATTTAAGCTTTGGGCAAAAGAGGAAGGCTTTCCACCATTTGTGTGCGTCGCCCCCCGCGGCGTCACTCCATACGAGTGTGGTCCGCGCCGATTTTTGTGATAGACCGCAAGGGAAACCACTCGACAATGAATTTCAGGAGACTACCCAGTTTTTGGTGATTCTATCCAATCCCTGGTGGATTGGTATGGTTTCTTCTACCAAAGGGAACTCCCCTTTGCTCAGCAGAGCCGCCAAGTTGGCGCACCCGAGGCCGGTGGTGGGGGCAGTGCTGTTCGCCGCCCTCGTGTCCCTGGACTGGGGCGAGGCACGGGGCAAAATTTCACGCGTTTTTTTTTTTTTTAAAATAGCGAGCTCAACTGTAAGCAGAATGAGCTCACCATGACAAAGGTCCTTTGCTCGGGGATCCGATTCTTAATTCAACTTTTGGAATTAGAACACAACTCGCAGAATTGAGGCGTTGCAGGACATTGCGTAGAGCTCGCGGAAAGTTTTTGGGGCATGTTTTGGGCCCATGGTGGGGGTGCTCTCTTTCTCTCTTTCTCTCGCTCTCTCTCTCTCTCTCTCTCTCTCTCTTTGTCTCTCGCTTTCTCTCCCTTTCTCTCTCTGTCTTTGTCTCTGTCTCTGTCTCTGTCTCTGTCTCTCTCTCTTTCTCTCTGTCTCTCTCTGTCTCTCTGTGGGCTCAAAGCGAGTCAGAAGGCTGTTGGCACGACTGGCAAAGGTGTCGAAGACGAAGCATGCGAGGCAAGCAGCCAAAAGATCCAAGCAGCAAAACACGGCAACGCCATTTTGTGTGACCGGGTGAACGAACTCCCAGCGGCTGATTGGCCCAGGGATTGAATCACTTTGCTTCCAGTCCAGAGTCGGCCGACCATATCCTCTGTTGCCTTCAACATGACTCTTTGTTTTGACCTCTAGGGGTATCAAAGTCAGAAGTCAGAACCTGGGGTTGTTCCCTTTAACCCGCCGACTCTGGTAAAAATCATGTTTTTTTTTGTTTTTCTCCTTTTCCCTCCTCCCCAAGGGACACCAAAGGCAAACAAGATCCATTTTGGAGGTCCATGTTTAATTTCAGGGACCGCCTTCTTTGCACTGCCGTCCTATTCCTGGGTCACTGGCAGGACAAGCGTGGCTTTCAGAGACTGCAAAACGGTTCAGGCGTTCCCTCCGTTTCCCTTTTTGGGCTACCTCCAAAAGTGGAGGCCGATCGGTTCAAACGCCGCCATTGAAATTGATCAACTCTTGAAGGGCGAGCCCGATGAGCCCTGCGCCTGCTAAACGTCTAGCTTGTTGTTCAGCGGAAACCCCCACGAAGCCCACAAACAACCGATGGAAAACCCAGTGGAAGTCCGGTGACCCCAGATCCCTGGCTTCTTGCACTCGGCGGTTGGCCCCAGGGCCGCACGGTGAAGGCGAGGCAGGAGCTGCCGGAGCCTGTGGTCGGCCCGCGGGTGGTCGCTTTGGCAAACGGGAGTGGGGGCGGGGGTTAGGGGGCCAAGTATTCTGAGACATGTATCCTAAAGGTTAGGAGCCTCCAACATGGAGGACCTTTTTGAGGGCATAAAACCCTTGAAAGAAGGTTTTGCCTCGGACAGATTTGGTTGTTAAAGCCGGTGCTGCTCTTTTAGCGTCCCTTTCAACATCGAACAGGAGGTTCCCTGTTTCCAGACATCATCCTGCAAATTAGCTGCTTAATTACTCACAAACGTGGACGTCCGATACTCAGATCGAAGGTGCCAACCACAGCATGCAGTTGCTGGGCAAAGGTAGGTCAAGGCAGTAAGGTATATTACACATGGTCTTGGAGTCCGTTCCACAGGTAGTGGCGTATGTGATCCTTGCTGACCTGTTTTGCATTTCTTGGGATTTTGAGCGGGCCCCTTCCTTTAAAGAGGGAACACGAACAAGAAAAGATCCAGTTTTGAGGTTTCTCTGGTTCTGAGCACCCAGTTGAATCCGATGATTTGTCAGGCGGCCTTTGCACCCGATATATCCGGACCCCCGGAGTGAGCCCCAGACCCAGCTGACTGGTCAGTGAGGATTTGAGGAAGCTCGCGGCGGACAAACCGGCGGTGGTCATGGCGAAGCTGAGCCCTGTGCTGGCGGACGACGACCAGGAGGCCCGTCGCCATCGTCGCCCTTCAGCGGGGTTGTGCAAAAGGGTCCGGGCATGGGGGGCCAACTGAACTTGGGGTTTGGGATGCCATGGGATCCCCTAGGAAGAAACAAGCTTGAATATTCAAAGGCATCGAACACGCCAAAGGTGTCACAAGGATCCTTGCGAGGGCGCTGGAGGGCGGTGTTAGGCTTTTTTGCTTTCTTGTCTTTGGTTGGCTTTTGGGGAGTTGGCCTACTGGTGTTTGGCTGTGTGGATTTGTTGTTTCAAGCGAGTCTTGCTTACACCAAGAGCTAGTGTTATGTTGGCGTGAACTACAGATCCTGAACGCTCTTCTGGATTGTGGTGATAGCCAAGGCTCAGTGGTTTCAGTTCGGAGTTTTTACGGCTTCCAATCGCTTATGACAGAAACTTTGTTGCTCTCCAGTTTGACGTTCGCCCCTGTGGACAGTTTTGGACATGTGTTTGATTGTTGCACATTGTGGCTCCCTTCTCAGGCATCCACACAGATGGCTATCCGAAGGGTTTTTTGGAAGTGTCGTGCCCGGCTTGGCATGTTGAGGTATGTGTAACTCGGGTTCAGCAAGCAAATGACGCCCCTTGCCATCAGATGGCCCCTTCTCTCAAAAAAAAGGGCATGGTACTCTCAAGACGGATCCTCAGAAAGGCGCCCGGATCTGCATGAGGGTGCCGCTTCGTGATCAAGAACATGTAGTTTGGATGAGGCACATGGCTTTGTTTGTAAGATGGTTGCAACCCATGCCGACCCAGCACATGGCTGGTTTTGAGCAGCTCTCAGCTGAGGTCCCGGACAGTTGACCCGAAGGGTTCTGGCGGCTGCTGTTGTCGTTGGGGATGACACCTGGGACTATTTTCTCTGAACCAGCCCTGACCCTCAAATGGGCGCATCTTTTGTTTTGTTTTTGCTTCAAGAAAGCCTGACGGCGAGCATAGGTGTCCCAAAAGTCAGTTTGGTGTAGAACTAAAGGGTCTCCACTGGTTTCAGCTCGGTTCCAATCGTTCATGGCTTGTTTCCATCTCTTTGGCCCGGCTTTCCGCACCGGCCCGGTTTGTTGCGAGCGGATTCCCAGGTGACGGAGGTACCAGCAGACGAGGCCTCGAAGGAGAGAACCTCCCGGGTGGCGGTAAAAACAGCTTGCCTTTTTTCGGAGCCTTCCGTTTTTTTGTCTCAAAAAAGGTGTTGCCCCTGGTTCTGGATGGTGTGGAAAAAGGATGCAAAAGGGGTACCTGGAGGAATTAGTCTCCCGATTTTGAGAAGCACCCATATGCTTGCACACGCCCACAAGAGGGTCCGATCATTTGAAGATCATGATGCAAGGTGCCAAACAATGCACACATTGGTCTCATATGACTTATATGCTCCACGGCCCCACCATATCCAACCCACGCAAGGGTCCAACCCATCAAAGGGTCATCCCCACCACTCATGAGAAAACTGCACCGATCGCTTCTCCTTCCGTCAGGACGGCGGGCTGGCACGGCGCGCGGCGGTGCTGCTGGCACTGACGCGGGAGCTCAGTGTAGAGCCGAAGCGGGAGAAGGAGAAGAGCGAGAAGGACCAGACCAGGTCTCTGAAAAAGCTGCTGGTGCTCAGTCGGAATGAGGAAATATGAGCCTGGGGTTCTTAAAGGAAACCACCAGTTGGATGGATACTACGGGCAGTTCCAATTCTCATTCCCTACTCGCGCGCAGCAAGAAACAGCGAGGTGGCTTCCCGGAAGCTGGCCTAAGGGCTTCCCTTGGGCCGCCGGAATTTAGAGGGTACTGTAGAGGGCAATCTGGAGGGTGGGAAGGACAAGGGGGGTGAAGGAGGGGATTGCTTCGTGCCGTTTTCGGGCAGATTGGGACCTGCGATTCTGCGATTTTGACAGCTGGTGTTCATCCAAGTCGATGCCGGCCGCGCTGGCAGTGGGCGACTTGAAAGCAAAACAGCCTGCATGCCCAAGCCAGTTTGATCCAGCCCCATTTTCTTCGCGGTTCTTTGGCTTCCAGCGAAGGGAACTGGACACTTGGGGGTGCCTGGGAGAGGGGGAGGAGTCGTGCGACTTGGGGGCGATTGGGGGGGGGGAGGGGAGAGCGTGATTTTTTGGGGTTTGTTTCTTGGGTCTGCCTTCCTGCCAGGAGTCGAAGGAGGTGGAATCCAAGGGTCTGGTGGCGGTGATGCAGGCCCTGCTCGGGTGGTGGGGTTGGGGTGGGCGGGGGGGGGTGTTGGGGTGGATTGGGGATTTTTTGGTCCCTACTGCCAGCCCCTTTGGTTTCCCTCCCCCCCCCCTATTTCCGCGTGGCAGGCCGCTTCGGCCCCCGACGTGGAGGAGGAAAGCGGGGCGGGGGACGGCACGGGCTGGGGCCTGCGCCACGCGCGGCTCCTGGCGCGGCTGCGGAAGGAGGAGCCTCTGCGCCCCGGCGAAATCGGCGGCCGGGTCGCTTTCGGCCTGCGGCTGGCTGGGGGGGTAGGACCACTGTGGATGGTTGCGAAATCCGCTTCTCGCACCACCTAAGAAACCATGGGAAGCCAGGAGAATCATCATTCTAGGGTTTCTTAGGTGGTGCAGGATTTTGAACAAGGGTTTCGCCGGACCCTGTTGCTGCACGCCTGAGCATGTATTGCGTGTGATGGGTCGCAAGGGACGCTCTACCTGAGGTTCCCCTTTGCAAGTTGCTATGCCTCCAACCACGCGTAGGCTACGAATGATGCCCTTTCTCTCCCCTTTTTGGGGGCAGGGTTCCCCTGCTAAAACGGACTACGGGGAAGATGGGTGCCCTTATTCTAGCCTCTCTGGAGGGCCTAGAGGAGGCCCGCTGCAGGAACCCCTCCTCCTGATTGGGTCGCCCCGACCCTTCCCCACACAGATCTGAGGTGAATCAGGCGCACTCCTTTTCGCTATCGCAGCGGCAGTTTCCCTGATTAACGTATGGAAGATGATGGAAGGAAAAAAAGAGGGAAGAGGGTGGGTATGTAAGGCTCGGTCAGTTTCCAGAACCGCGGATCCTGGTTTTGATGAACGTAGCAAGACATTGGACCAAAGTGAGAGGCCGAGCCACAATCAACATCTGTGTCGAAGGTTAGAAAGGGTCAGTCCCAACCATAGCTCCGAGAACCCATGATTCTTTAGCATAGGTTTTTAGGTATGCCCTTTCATACTGTACCAGGAATTGATTGTGGCCAGGTTTTTCTTCGTGTATGGCGGGTTGAGCATAGCCTCAAAACAGACACCCATATCTAAAAGTGTTTCAAAGAGAAGCACCCTTAGCTGTGTGTTTCACGACTTAGTAAGTTTTAATTCATAACCATGGCCCTAGCGGAACTAACCCCGGCCATTACGGGGTTACACTAGGTGTAAACGCGTACATTGTTTATTCCAGCAAGTTGGTTTGGTATGACGATTGGACTTAAATGTATCATTTGTTCTTTGAGAAGAACAAGTATATATATATATATATACATAATAAAAAGAACTGAAACTAAACATAAATTGACACTTTGAATTAGTGGCATTGGCTTGCACACCAACAAGTCTGGACTTCATCTCCCCCTCGGCCTCACTCGGCAAGGCCGAGCTCGCAGCTGCAGAAGTGGCTGCGGGAGGCGGTGAGTTTGCTGCTGACCATGGACCGCGTGGAGCGGAACGAGTCCGCCAACGAGCTCCAGCAGTTCGTGATCAACGCCCTGCAGGCCATGTTTGGTGGGCGCGGCTTTTCCTCTAAAATTTTGTTGAAAAGGATAAAAGTCAAGCGTATTACTCTTCCCGTGGTTTCTTTTGCCCCCCCCCCACAGAAAAAAAACACAACCACAACACAAAAGGAGAAGACAACAAGGAGGAACCATAGGAACTTTTGTTCGGCGAAAGCTGCGGTAGATACCAATTTGGGCCTATCACCCCCAAGCCCTCCAACGTTCTGGACAACAGGGCTGAGAACATGCATCCAACCACCCGGGGAGTCATTTTTTTGGGGAACCACTTGAAAAAAGAGACACTTTTGCCTATTTGGAGGGCCTTGATTTCGATTTGGGGGCCCTTTCTGCTCAAGGTGCTGCGGGGCTTGTCTTTGGATTGTTTTGGGAAAATCGCATGGCCCTCAGAAGGAGTGCTTCAAACTTTAAGGGGGTTCCTGAACTTGCCCAAAAAGCAGCTGTGGCTTTGCGAAGTTTCGAAGCCGTCAGTTTATTAGGACGATTGAGAGGCATCACCAACGTACGCAGCTATCCCCTTGTATAGAGGGATCTCCTTGTTTGTTCGGAAGCCTTTTCGGGGTTCCTATAAATTCGCCAGGGGGTTCTACTGTGGATGGACGAAATCCTGCACCAAGAAATCCTGGATTGGTGACTCCCCTGTAAATGCCAACCAACAGTGGTTTCCAATGCTTTCAAAGTGGTGCGAATGGATTTCGTCCATCCACAATATGTTTCGTATCGAGCACCGGGTCTGCTTCAGGTCTTTCGGGACGTGGACAGCTCCGAGCTGCTTGGGTTGGGACCTTCGGCGGCAGAAGAGAGCCCCCCCCCACCCGGGATGTGGGGGAAGCCGATTTCGGCGGGGATGCCAATGGCATTTGCGTCTTGATTGGCTCTCTGAATCCCTTCCCCGTAACAATAAACGCGGACCCCTCCCTCCCCCCAAAAAATGAAAATAAATAAATAGCACTCTCTGGGCGAACAACTGGGGGCGAACCACACATACTTATTAATGGGGTCCTTGGTCCTTGTTGGCACTCTTCCTCTCTTAGGGCCGGTCCTAAAGGAAAACCGGATGACCCATTTTGGGCCCGACAGAGCCCCTAGCGGTTAGGGTTAGACTGCAAGAATTGCTACACCTGACGAAACCAACAGTCAGGTAGGCCCCGCCACCTTAGCCCCCCCGCCCTCCAGCCTGAGCATTTGAGCGGTTCCTTTTCTATGTCCCCCAGTGGTGCCCTTTTTAACCCCCTTTTCTTTGGTTCGGAGGGTTGCCCTACTAAATAGACTACAGAAGAAAATCGGGTACTGTTAGTCTCTGCTGGAGGGCCTAGTTTTGTTCTTTGCCCCCCCCCCCGCCCTCCAGCCTGAGCATTTGGGTGAGGGCTGGAGGACACCGTGGCCCAGATCTGCACACAGCTGCGCATTGCGGAGGCCAGCTTTTGGGGGGGGGCGGTGGGGCGGGGCAGGGGGGGGGGGGGCAGGGGGGGTTGCGGGGGCGGGGGGGAGATGTTGAAAGTAGGGTGTTGGCTTCCCCTTTGATACCATCTATATTCCCTCTTCTGTGTGTGTGATTTTTGTGGGTAGGCCTTTTTGGGGTGGTTTGAAGGAACGCCAAAAGCAAGACTGCAATGTTTTGGAATCGCTGCCCCTGATTTGACACATACCCATTTGGACCATGAATGAGTCTCTTTTTGGTGGGACCTTTAAAACCATGTTTGAAAGGGACATATGGACACGTGATGCGGAATTCTGTTTAGGGGCTTCGATCCCACCACATGCAAATCAGCCAGTTTCATGCGCGTTTTTTTTTCTAGCAGCAGTTCGGACCCCTCGTCCGGGTGAAGGGACCTGCTTGCAGAAGGTTGCCGAAGCCCTCCAGTCCCGGCAAATGAGTGAGACTCCAGAGCATGGGGCGTTCACGTGCCACATTTTGCAGTTAGCCGCAACTCGCTCGCCTGCCCGCCCCCACCCCCCCACCCAAACCAACCAACCCACGCACTCACGTACTCACGCACGCACTTACTCACTCTCACTCTCGCTGCTACACTCTCACTGCCTCACTGCCTCACTGCCTCACTGCCTCACTGCCTCACTGCCTCACTGCCTCACTGCCTCACTGCCTCACTGCCTCACTGCCTCACTGCCTCACTGCCTCACTGCCTCACTGCCTCACTGCCTCACTGCCTCACTGCCTCACTGCCTCACTCTCACTCACACTCACTCACACTCACCCACACTCACCCACTCTCACTCAAGCTCGCTCGCTCGCTTACTCACTGGTAGGAGTAGTTTGGGGTAGTGAAGGGGACACCTCTGATGAGTCAGGGTTCCAGCCTTATTTTCTCTTGGAAGGTGTTCCAAAAAAGTCTGCCTTCTGGGCCAAGTAAAAGTGAGTTGCCTTTTGGCGGTGATGTAGGGACAGCAGCTCCCCGGGAAGGTTCAAGCTTGATGTGAAGAGGGTGGGGTTAGTTCCCTCGCTGATCAACCAACAGGGGTGAAAGCATAGCTTTGGGCCCTTGTGGTTCTTCCTTCCTCTCCCCCCCACACATGTCTCGGGTCGACAGTGGCGACCTGATAGAACCAGATAGAACCAGATAGAACCAGATAGAACCAGATAGAACCAGATAGAACCAGATAGAACCAGATAGAACCAGATAGAACCAGATAGAACCAGATAGAACCAGATAGAACCAGATAGAACCAGATAGAACCAGATAGAACCAGAGAACCAGACCAGATAGAACCAGATAGAACCAGATAGAACCAGATAGAACCAGATAGAACCCAGCCTTGACCGCGTTCTGCGCAGGGCAAGGCCATCTTCGGGCGGCTCACAGTGCAGAAGCTGCAGGCGGAGGTGGAGCAGGCCTTGCGATTGGATGATTTTTTTGGGGGCCGGTTTCGTGAACTTTGGCAGGTCTAAGAAACCAATGCTCCCTCCCCGAGTTCGTGGACTTGGATCTTTGTGGGGTTGGACTGTTTTAGTGGTAAATAAACTGTTTGGGCTGCTTTTGGTCTACTTCACTTGTGAAGTGAGACAATCAGCAGCAACAGCAACAGTGACGGCGGCCACAAAAAGAATCAGAAAAAAACAAACCGCAAGCTAGCAAAGCAAAGCAAGCGGCCGCGCATGGAGTCGAGCCAGGGGCTTCCGCCGGAGCGCGTCCAAGCGTGGGTGTCGCAGGCGCGCATGAGGGAGGTGGTTGGTTCTTTTGCAATGGGAGTGGGCGAGGGGGATCAGTATGTGGGGCATCCAACCAGCTGAGAACAGAACGCCGACCCGACGCGCTCTTAACGTGGAGCCCACCTCCCTTCAAAAGGGAGAATGTTGACCCAGGATTAATAAACTTGTCCATTAGGGGGGTGTTCCCTCCAAAAGTAATGAATAATTGTCTTCCAGAGGCCGTGTTAGTTGGTGGAGGGTGACCTCCCCCGAAGCTGCGAGGTCAAGGGGTCAAGATGCTCAAGATGGTCAAGGGGTCGGGAAAGGCTGGAAATCCCTTCTCAGCAGGGGACAGATCAAGGCCGGCATTGGAGGGGAGGGGCCAATCCCCAAGATGTGGCTACGGAGAAGATTCTTACCCAGCATTGCAGCCCTCAACTAGGGGTATGTTTTTTGCGGGAACCCGCCGGGTACCCATCTCAGGTTGGTGAAAAAAAATGGACGCCGTGCCAAACAAAAAGCACACTTCGCGGCGCTGGGCGTGGGGGCGTTGGGGGGGGGATGGGCCGGCGGTCAAAAATCACAGCCTGAGGAGCCCCTCGGCTCAGGCTGCGCAGCTGACCGGCCCAGAGCTCTCTTCAGCACGGGCCCAGTTGCTGGTGCAGCTCGCGCGGAGCCGCCGGATCCTGGCGAGGCGGGGGGGTGGGGGGGGGAAGGCAACTGCACGGCCCTGGCTGAAAAATGGGCCCTGGCCGGAAATGGGCCCCTGGCAAATGGGAAAGTAGACGAAACCGGCTCTAAAATTTGGAGCCGCACAACTATGGAAGAGGAACACGGCTGGGTCCTGCAAGGCACTTTTTGCTGGAACCCTCTAGGTTACATGTGATACATGGGTAGTTTTGATGGGTTCACAGGTCCGGGGGCAAAGGAGCGATTCCAGCTGTGAAGGGCCATTTAAAATAACTTGATTCAGGCTGGTCATGGCGATGGATCGTAAGTAGTGCGCAGGGAAGTTAGGGGAGCTGGCTGGGGCGAAGTTGGAGGGTCTGGAAGGCAGACGAGGGGTGTAACGGCTTGGGTGCTTTCATTTTCTAGGCAGGCCTGGGTTTGCAAGCTGTTGGCTGGTTCAGAATCGGAATGGGAAGGTCTTTGGAACAACCTGGTGCAGTTCGGTCGATATTGGGGGCGTGCTCGTTGGGCCGGAGGGCGCTGGCCCCTCTGCTGCGTGCATGGCAGCGCGAGTCTGCCGAAGACCAGGTGAGAGGGGGTTGGGCTGGGTTAACTTGTGGTCTGGGGGTGGCATGGAGGCCGAAATCCGACTTTTCAACTTTTGGGGTGTTCTAAGTGATTCATAGTGATTCTAAAAGTCAACTTCTATTTTCAGGGGTTTGTCAGCATTTGGGATTCCAAGCTGGAGGGTGGAAGAAGTTGATGGGCGGCATCATCGGCATCATTGAGTTGTTAGCCAACATTTCCAAAGTTGGCCGCCTCTAGTGGTTCTGCATCATCCACAAGTCTTGAACATCTGAGCTGCAGCGTTCGCCTTGGTTTGCAAAACGGGGGGGCCTTTGGTTGCTTCGGGCTTCAGCTGGACCTCGGCTTCCGTGGAGCCAGGGGGCGGGAGAGGGTCATGGGCCAAGCGGCTTCGCTGGCAATGGGATCATTGACACTGTTAAAATCTACGCTGGCGCCGCAGCCGCTCTTAGAGCTGAGGGATGGGGTATATCCTGGATGCTGTTCGAATTCGCTGAAGCCGGGGCACTTCTGCAGGAGCTGCAGCACGTGCAAAGGGGAGTGGAAGTCCTGCGGAAGGCGGGCGCGCGGGGGGCGGGGCCATTCATGTGTCAAAATTGGGGGACTACACAGAAATGGTGATTCGTTTTGGTGTCCCTCTGCACCCAGGCCCAAAAAGTGTACCCTCCAAGGAACACAAACCCATTTCGGAGGGTCCACCCGCATGGCGTGCTCCGCGCTAGGCCTGGAGCACCGGAGAACCGCCGGAGGCATGGGTCAGCCTCAAGGAGGTGTACAGCTTGAGCAGCTTGGCCGGGCTGGGCGCTGGCGCGAGGGGGGCAGTGCGCGTTTGGTGCGTGGCTAGGAGCTGCTCTTATTTTTGGAGGGGGTGGCGGCTGGAAGGGGGCTTGAACTGTTTAATTTCGACTCCGAGGCACACGTAACATCCGCGGAGGTCAAGCATCTCCCTTGACTTTTTGCAGGCGCAAACGGTATGGCACACTTCCGACCTCAGACCCACACTCATAGGTGTCCTTTTCAGAGAAATAGCTGGGCTCCACTGGTTTCGTTGCATTTTACCAGGGAAACCCATTAATTTCTCCAAAAGGTCACCTATGCCCACACCTGATTCCTGTGTCTGAAGCTCTCAGGCAACTGCTGCACCGACATCGCCAAGCGCTGCGTCCTGGGCGAAAACTGGAGAGGGGGCGGGGGGAGGGGGTTCAGGCCGACGGTTGAGATAATCCCCGCAATGACGTTCACCAAACAGAACCCCTTCACCAAAAGGGCCCCCTGAAGCTTCAACATTTTTCTTTTGGTGCCCCGTTCAAATCATCCCTGAAAGGGCACCCCCCAATAAACAAGGAAACGCGCACACCCAAAAAGGGCCGCCCCAACAAGAAACACGCTTGGACCAACAACTGGGCCCCGAATCGCTGCAGGCGCGAATCGCCGCATCCGGCCGAGGCGAGAGCCGGAAGCGGCCCAAGTCGTCGCAGGTCTTCCGGGAGACGGCGCAAAAGCTGCAGGAGGTGTTTCCCTGCCGCCGGGGACCCCAAAAAACCCGGCGGCCGAATGCGCTCCAAGGGTTCCCTTAAAGGACAACTGGACTTCCTCAAAGAGAAGACGAGTTGATTTAGAGTCTAGAGGATCCCCTTGATTTCAGCAGCTGTTGGGATACGTCCCCCCCTACGGCCGCCAAATCAGACTGCCAAATTAAGGTGCAGGTGGCTCCTAGTTACCGCTCCAAAAGCCAATGGGCTCCAAACTGCCAGGCTTCGTTTGGGGAGTGGCGTGTGTCATGAGCGTGGTCGGCCTCCTTGGATGTTCAACCCAAGTCGGGGAAGTTAGAACTGAGCCAACTGGGTCAAATTCCTTGATAGCCATGGTTAGAGCCTGCTATGCCTGCTGATTTTTTTTGTGGGCTGCACATCCACACATTTTTCCAATCCATTTGTATGTCCAATGTTTAAACCCTCAAACCCGATTCTTCAACCGGAAAAGCTAAACCCCTGACCACCGGCTTTGTGCGCCCCAACAAACAGGGCTCCTAAAAAGATACATTTTGCCCATTTGAAACCTGGCTTTTCCCACCAAAATAAAGGGAAACCACCATATACAAAGCAATGTTCAGGTGTATAGTGTCAGGATCCCTGACAAACTGGCCTTGAGGTGTGGTGCTGGTGCTGCGGCAGCAGCTGGACTTCGCGCAGATGATGAGAGAAGCGCGGACCCTGCCGCAGGCGGGGCTGCGGGCCACCCGCTTCCCGGCGGATCCATTCCCGTTTGGCTGTGGTGGTCAAAACCGTGGGATCCCATTTTGGGGGTAGGTGAATTCTCCACCCAAAACCAGAACCTGCTTTAGTGGGGATGGGGATGTTCACTCGGGGTACAGGATTGTGATGTGAGCTCTCTGGTTGCTTGGGTTTGCCCAAAAATCGGAAGCGCCAAAGAGACCCAGGGTCATTTGAACAACTGGGACAGGGACACTCTTTTCTTTGATGGAACCATTTGGAAGCCATTTCGGCCTTTCCCATCTGAATACTATTTTTGCCTTGACCATGTTTTCATTAGTTTCCGTATCCAAGATGGTGAAGGTCCCTTACTGGGGGATCCCTTACACTTCACTTCAAGCCAACCCAAACAGGGCACCCTCAACAAAAAAAGCCCCGCCCTTTTTGCCTGTTGGCTCATCCTAGGATGGCGCAAAGGAGATTGCGCTTGGGTTTCTTTACTTTCCTTTCCCAGGGGCCGAGTGGACCCTCCCTGCCCCCCAGAAGTTGCTCAGAGCCCGTTTTTAGCCCTCCCTTGAAGGTTCCCGCCGCCAGGATTGGGTGTCTGTGCAAGTGGCCTGGCAGATGTGCGAGCACCTGGCCAACATCATGCAGGTCGACGAGCCCCTTGCCAGGATGATGGATCGAACAAATGATGATGCCAGGGGTTTTCTACCTGCCAGCAATCGAGTCGCTGGGTGGCTCGTGAGGAATCACCGGTTTTGGTCAAGAGGCAAGAGGCCGGTCAGTGGAGCCAGCCTCCGAGGGATCCGACTCATGTGAAGACCTGAGAGGCTGCAAGCTGGAGGGTCGAGAGCACTGAAATCGTCTTGCGCTTGCACGAAACGGGATGCAAAAGATGTTGTGAGAGGGGCCCAGTCATGATCCCCAAAGAAATTTGAGGGCGTGCCCGCAAGGGACCCCCACATCTGCATCTTTTCTTGGATGCAAGAGGGCAACATGTGGACGGGGCCCATGTTTTCCCAGCGATGCAAGTTTCGAGGTCGGTTTGAATGGTGATGCGTTTCCGTCGGTGACCACGGATTTGGTAGCGCTTGGGCGTCCCTCATTACAACAGGCCTTCAACACGACGGACTTGGCGCTTGGCAGTGCTGCCATTCCGACTCAGATAGGCCGACCTTTTCAGATGCGTTTTTTTTTTTTACGCGATCCCGAAAGGTGGCATCACTTTTCCTGCAACCGGGCCCTTTGGCAAGTGAGGGTCGCTTCCTGGTTCCATGTTCTTTTTGGGAAGGGGTGAGCCCCCTTTCAAAGTTCAAACGGTCCCCTTTCTTCCAGGATATTCTTCCCTCAGAATCAATCCCCAATCCGATCGCCGAGGGGACCTCCCAAATGCCGCCTTTTTACCCCACGGCCAGGGGCTCAAGCAAAGGTGTCCGCTTTCTAGGGGTACCTTGCCCATTCTTTTTAGGGATCCTTCTTTCTAGAAACCCTGCGGAAATCAACCCATAGAAGTTTGGCTCAACATCCACTGGGTCTGTCCGTTTCCCCGGTCGACTTAGGAGTCAGCTGGAGACCTGGCAGCTGGCCCAGGCGGGATCTCCCACCCGCCGGACAGAGGTGGAGTTCCGTGCCCTTTGGCCCTTTGCCCACCTCGCAAGTTTGCACTTGGCAACTTGTACCGTTGTTTGCCATTACTTCCCCTCATTCTGCGCATGCTTTGAAGACACCCACTCAGTTTCCATGAGATTTAATTTTTCTGCCCACTGAATCAGCCAAAAGCATTTCCGTCGCTGACCGAAGCAAGAAGCATCGTTCTCACTCTGGGTTCTAAAAGATTGCTTTCGTAGAGGAGTTGGCGTTGAGACCCTTTGTCTGGCGAGAATTGGGGGCCTGGCGCCATTGAAACAGGCAAGGGAACTGTGGAAGGCAGGCGGCGAGAAGCCGTCCTTTGGTTGGACGCGCTCCTGACGGTGCTTCGATTTTGGGTGGGGTTTTACACCCTCGCGATTGCGGAACGGCTCCAAAATCGGACCATTTCTTGAGTAACGCCTCCTACGTTATAGGTTATAGGGAAGTACACCCAGTTGCTGCTCTTAAAGCCATGGTCCAGGGTTCTGGCTTGGAGAACCGACGGGCTGTAACCTGCATACGCGCCTACAAAGTGGGTTCCACATCCGCGTGTGCACACAACCAGTCTGAGAGTTCCTCCTTTCGCGCCGCCGGGGGGGGGGTTCTGTATTCCAGAATGATCGCCGCCTTCTCTTCCTTAAAGGTTGCGTGTCTGCGATTCCATGCTTGTTGGCAGGAGAGTAGTTCCCAGTCACAGGGTGGTCCCACGCTTATGACCAAACTTGATCTTGGGAACTTGGGTAGCTGGGGCCCCCAGCTCCCACGAGACTCCCCGTGCCAGTTCGTTTAACATGGGGTGACCAGTCGGGAAACCGCCAGACACCGCAAGAAGGATGACTGTGACCAAAAGGTTACCCATGGTATCCCATGGTCATTGTGGGGCCCTGGATGGAATATTGCCCCACCCCTGTTTCTGAAAAGATGGCGATTCCCCAATAAACCCTGGTGGTTGAATCATCCGGGGCCATCCATTTACCCAAGTGCTCCATTCGGACAGGAGAAGCTGCCGTCCCTGCACGGCCTGGGCTACGAGCTGGCGCGTCTCCGGCACCTGGGCCGGGAGGAGGCCCCGGCCGCGGATGAGTTCCTGCGCAGCGCCTCGGGCCCGTCTTTTGGCAGGTCGCCCGAAAAAGCGGATGGCATGTATGAGGTGTAGCATGTGGTAACAAAAACAAGATGATGGGAGCCCAGGATTGATAAACTGAGTTTTTGGTGGGTGTTCCAGTTGGGCTTGAATCCGGATCAGCTGTGGCGGAAACATGTCCGTAGCCAGGCGTTGCTGCAAAACTTCACCCGGGGGGGGGGGGGGGCTTGTAGGCCGCCTCATTTTTCTGGGGTGGCCCATGCATGGGTCCCGAACACCGTGGGTTTGGCTTGATGAAGGCTCAGGATCTGAGCCAGTGGTTCATGAAGCCGAAGCGGAGGGCACTCCCCAACCTCCCACACCGATCCAAGCCATTAAATGGGTGTGGCTCAAAATTAAACAGCAGGGGTTAATTCCGCGGGTTTTGGTCCATGTTTCCACTGAACAGGGTTCCATGTTGGTACCGGTTTTTTGAGCCACAGCCAAAGAATTGCAGGCGAACAACTTGAAACTTCATTCCCCACTGTCGCTCATCATCGTTGACCCCGGGATCTTTTGGACTTTCGGACTTTCGGAGAGACCTTTTGGGACAGCCTTCCGCCGGGATGGGGCTTGGAACATGTCCGTGGTTTTTGGAGGGGTGGGGATGTGGGGTGTTGCCAAAGCTGGGCCTCATGGTCGGGACAGATGGGTGGCTTCTTCTTTTTGCAAGTGAAGCAGGGAAACCAAGAGAAACAACGCAGAAACGGAAGGAGTCAGCTGAGAGACACTGAGAAAGCTGAAAGAAACCTAAAAACTGAAAAACGCGGAAAGAAGTGAAAGGAAGCAGAAGGAAGCACAACGCATCCCAGCCAGTTTGAAAGATCCGACGAGTTTTGCATTCCCAACTGCCACCCGAAAGATTCGGCACATGTATTTTGCAGACGCCATTCAAATAAGCATTTCTGGACACATTTTTTTCCGAGCTTTTGTTTCCTTCGTTGTTGGCGGGGTGTTATGAGTTGACTTGCAGTGTTGGGTGAAAGTGAATTGCGCAATTTCCATATTTTGGTTTAGTCAGAAAAAAACCTAATACGGTATAATCAGGGAATTGTGCCAAACACTTTCAGCCTTTTTGTAAGGTCAAAGCAAAGCCGCGGCCGCTCACTCCAACTTAACCCCTCCTTGCTCTTCAACCCCCACTCATCTCACTCCACCTCCACTCCCCAGCCTTTCCCACTTTTCATACTTAAGCAGAGCACATGGTGGGGCGATGTTTCGACAATTTGGGGGCCTCGCTCGCTCACTTCGGTCTGAGGATTGGCACCTGCCATCGCCGTGCAGGTGCACGCCATCGAGCGTCAATGCGGTGGAGGCACCGGAGGGACCCCCCTTTGGAGGCAGCAGAGGGACCCTGCTTTGGAGGCACTGGAGGGAGGCAACAGAGGACTGGAGGGACCCCTTGGAGGGACCCCTCTTTGGAGGCACTGGAAGGACCCTGCTTTGGAGGCACCGGAGGACCGCTTAAACCGAGTGGTGGCTGCGGCCACTACGATGGCTCACGCACACTTGTGGCACCAGCGTTTCGGGGTGGATTGGATACCAACCGTTTCAGGGATTGTTGGTTTCGTTTCTTCTGGGTGGATTATCTTCAACGTTATCCGGGCAAGAGCAGGATGTTTCCTCTGTTCTCCGGGGCGACCAAAATTAACGAGCTTTCCAAAACAAAAACAAACTTCTTGCGTGACTTGCATTTTTGCCAGTCCCCCTGTTGACACCCGCGCAATGTGACCCTTGTCACGTGGGGATGCATAAACGGGTTCTGCTTTAGGTTGCTAGGCTTGTGGTAGGCCTGCAACAGGGGGTTTTGGGAACGAACCCTTCGGACGGGGATTCCTTAAAGCTGAGTGTGTCCGTCGCCAGGAGAGGGCGCCGCACAGTGCCGTGCCTCCATGGGGCACTTTTGCGACTGGGCCGTGCGAAGGCGCGCGGAGGGGGGGGGAGGCCAAGGGAGCTTTCGCTTGGGGAAGCAAGGTGTTTGGTTTGTGGATGATGTGATTTGGTGACTCCGTCCGCAGGGATACCATCCCCACAAGGAGAGCGGCCGAATATTTCCTTGGTGAAGTCCGCAGCAGCAAATGACTCGTGAGGAAGTCTGGGCGACGGAAACTGCTCGATGGAAAGCCGCCAGCCAAAAAATTGGCGGGGTATTGCGAATTTCTGCTTCCAGGGGCGGCTGTGCCTTTTTGGTGTAATGACAGCAGTGGTTGTTTGCATCAAATTATTCGTGCCCATTCCTGAGCTACCCCCAAAAATATTGTTTTGGACAGAGGGTTCATGGAAGGGTTAGGGAAGTATTGTGGGCCTGTTGAGAGGTTGCAAGAGGCTTGGAAAACACAAGCTGTTCTGGAGTTAACCTGGTTGGTCTGTTGCTTGCTTGGCAGGCTTTTGCTTGGCTGGTTGTTTGGAATTGGTTGGCTGGTTAGTTTATCGCTAGCTCGCAAGATCGGTCGATTGTTTTTTTCCTAATAGACGGTTGTGCGTTGTTTCCGCCAGCTGCAGCTGTTTGCAAGGGTGAACGTGTAGGGGGAAAGCACGATCGCAACTGGCCCAACTGGCTGTCGCAGTTCAAACAGCCCAGCATGACACAGAGTCTTGTCGTCACCTGTGCCCTTGAGGGGCAGTCCTTGGATTTTATAGGTGATTTAGATGGGCTTGGGGATATTCGAAGCTGCGTTCTGGTGAGTTTCAGGACCTCTTGGCCTCCAACCATCTGAGAGACGCAGGCTGCCGGAGCTGTACCAGGTGGCGTTGCTGGCGTGGTGCGGCGAGCGCGTGGCCCACTTCTCCGGGCACCTGGAGGAGCGCCTCTCTGAGTGGAGCCCGGCCCCCAGGTGCCTTGGGGGTGGGCGCTTGTGGGTGGTTGGTACCCACCCGCCAATTCACATGGAGCCTGACAGGGGCTCCCTTTAAAAGGAAAAGGGTCCAAGCCAGCACCCCCCCCAACGTCAGGTTCCGTGTTAGTTGGTGGGAGGGTAATTGCTTTGGTGTGTTCACGTGGTTTCAAAAGGGAAGCCAGCCAACAACCGCTGGCTTCGGAAGGTGAAGCCGGTTAAGCCAAGAGGGAGGCTGTGAGAAGTTCTCGGCGTTAGGATGTTTATTTAACATGTTTAAGGTTGCGACTTGTTGTGGTAAAGCCTTTCCCAGCCTATCAAGAACCCCCTTTTCAAGTTTAAACACTCTGGTGTGGGGGTGAGACATTGGTAAAAAGCATTGTTTCCAGCGCGTGGCCATTTTGTGGCGGAGCCATGGGCCGCCTCTCCCTTCTGGTTTTGAGAAAGGCTCACTTTGCTGGGGTTCAAGGGTTCAAGGAGTCAAAGGTTCAGGTGGCTATGAGGCTTCACTGAAAAACTCCCAACAGTGGATATGAAATGCATTTTTCCCTTTTCTTTTGTTGAGGGGGGCGGGTGATTCATGAAACTCCGAGATGGGTTTCAGAAACAAGGTCCCATCAGGTGTTGACAAACAGGTGCCGAATCGGTTGGGCATGTAAATGTTCTTGATTTCTTTTCAACATCTGAAATATCATTTGTAGATTCTTTTTCTATAGGTGTTTGTTGTGCGCTATCATTCTGAACATGCCCTGGACCTTCGGCGGGTCCTGGTCATATCTGTCACCTTCGAGAAGCCAAAGGGAAGCAATGCAGTGAGTTAGATGCATAGAGAGCCAAAGGTCATGACCATAGGACCGACATGTGTGCGCCGTCCTTTTTTGTTGTTGCTGGGTTCATGTTACTCGATATGTGGGAACTTTTGGCCATCCATACCCCTGGCTTACGTACCCTACTTTTTGAACGTAGCTTGCTTGATCGCCATTGGGTTGAGTCTTTAGACTTTTTAACTTTTTGATTGAAATCAAGGGGTGTTCCATGAAACCCACAAAACGTTGACAACTTTTTGCAGAGGGGTCGCTACAGCAACTGTTTGGTAGAGGGGTCGTTACAGCAACCACTCGCTTTGTTGCTTGGGACCCTGCAGCGGCTGAGGCCAGCACCTGAACGGAGTCCTGACTCTTGGCGGCAAGCCGCAGCTCACGTTGTTTTGTGGGTTTCAAGAAGGCTTTGGGAAGACCCTACTGTGGATGGACAAAACCCTGCACTACCTAAGAAACCCTAGAATGATGATTCTCCTGTAGATACCAACAAATTATGGTTTCCCATGGTTTCAACATGGTGCAGAAAATCGTCCATCCACAGTATTCGTGGTGCACAAAAAGCGTTCAGCCTTTGTTTGCCCAAGTAGGAAGTGAGCAATTGATGTATCATGTATCATGCATCCTTTCTGACGTTGTTTTGGAGGAAAAGCAAATGGACGGCAACGCCCACTTTGTGGGTCACCTTGTTTTAAAGGCCTTGACCGGAACTATTTTTGTGGCGCACCCCAGGAACATTTAAGTCATGTCGTTTTGAGACAGCAAGGTGAGCCAGGCCCAGGTGTTCTCTTCGGAAAGAAGGCCTGCCTTGTTTTAGTTGCTCTTGGGCGAACGTCGCCCAGTTCGCTGGATTGATCTCTGCCCCTTCCAGCCTCCCCAAAATGGTCGGTTACTCTCCCGCTTCTCCTTCAACCAATCCGCGCTGCAGCTTTTCCAACTTAAGATCACCCGATCTTGCCACACCAGCTGCTGCTAGGCCCTTGGAGGAGGGGCCTTTCTCTTGAATCCGCGGCCGACTCCGACGCGGGGTTTTTCGGCTCAGCCCGGTGACCGGCCGAAGAACACGAGAAAGAGACGCCGCCCAACCGGGGCGACGCGGCGCCCGGGGCGCGGCGACGGCGCGATGGGCCAGGAGGAGCTCACGGAGCGGTGCCCCGCCTTCGCGGAGGGCTGCCCCTACGGGAAGAGCGAGGAGGTGGTGGAGTGGATCAAGGCGCGGCCTGTCGCCTGTGAAGTCGACAGCGCCGGAAACGGGGGGAGGGGAGGGGAATGGGGAGGGGGGGGAGGAGGGGAGGAGGAGGGGAGGGAGGGGAGGGGGTAGGGGAGGGGAAGTTCATTGGGTTGGGAGGGGCCGTTTGGTGGGGAATTGGGTTTGGTTTGAAGCGTTGTTGGGGGCCTGGGCGTTTCGTGGGGCGATGTTGAGAGAGGGAGGTCGAAAGACACGTGTTTTTCATTTTGATATAATGCAGCTCGGAATTCAGCCCGAGGAGGAGCGGGCGGGGGGAATCAAGAGAGCCTTCGGCAAAGCCTTCCCGGAACTCGAGGCTTGGATTTCGAGCTTCTGCCCTCCTCCTTTTTTGAGCCTCGCCAAGGCTAGGAGTTACTGAGTGGGTTGCGAACGCGAGGCGACGGGACAAGAGAACCCCTGGGACATTCCAATATCGAGGCTCTTTTCGCCCCAAAGGTGGCCACTTTGGATCATGCCGAGAGATTCGAACCTCCCAATCGAATGAACCAATGCCCTGACCGACCTACGGATTAACATGGAAGCAACATCATGTTTTGTGGCTCCGCGCGAGGTTCGTTGTCTATGGTCCATTGGGAGGGACATGCGGGCCTCACCAAATCCTTCGCTAGGGCATCATATTCCCCAGGATGCCAACAAGTGGGCTCCGCCAACAAGTGCGTGGATTCAAAGCTCAGGGAATTCGGGACAAGGTTTGTAAAATTGACCGTGTCTACCTGGGAAGTGCCAGGGGGAATTCGGAGGGTCTCCCCCTACCAAGACCCTGGGATTGCCAGGAGAAAGGCCATTCGGATGCCATTGGAGCATGCCCCGCCTTCAAGGACGGGCCGGCGCCTCAGGCCATTCTTTTTCCTTCTCCCCCTCCAATGGGGGCTTCAACCGTGTGAAGCCAGCCTATCGGTCGTGGAGACTTGTCCGTTTTAGGCCGTACACAGGACCTGCATTTCAGCCTCTTTTGCAAGCCATAGCTCCTTCAGGCCCACTGCTCATGCCAGTATCCAAACGAGGCCCCCCAGATGTGAATCGCGGTGACCCGTAGCACCCCCCTTGTTTACCAGTAGCACGGCTTCTATTCGCATTCGAATCAGCAACTGGGCATCGCAGGCCTGAGGCGTTCCATGTTTGACTTGCAGGAGGGGTCGAATGAACCCAGAGGGGTGGGAGAAGGTCGAATGAACCCAGAGGGGGGAGAACCTTGAGGTAGCAATTCCAGGGAGAACCTTGAGGTAGCACCCTCTTCCGATTCAAGTGGAGGGGCCTTTTCACGAGGCTGGTGGTAGTCCTCTCGTCCACTCAAATGATTGGAAAGACTGGGTTGTTCCCCAGCAGATTCTTTAAAGGTAGCTGATGAACCAATCTGTGAGCTGATTTTGAACCGATCGGCACCCTTCAACCACCATTGTTTTTGGAAATGCCAACTTAGGAAACAGCCCTGAAAGAGTGTAAACAAACAGGGGCTAAGTAATTACACATCATTCTCCCATGGTCATGAGATCACTTAGCCTCTCATACCTCACACGCCCATTCTATCAATGAAGACCCTTATTCCAATTTAGATGAGCCCAACAAAACCAACAATCCAACACGCCAACAAACGAACACTCCAACTCACCAAGAAACCCAAAACAAGACAGCCGACCAACAGCCTTGTTGGTCGTCCCACACGCGAAAACCGCTCCCCCACCCCCCCCCCCCCCACCCCGGCACGTTTGGGGTGAAAGCCATCGAGGTGTCCCTTCACAGATGCCTCGGACCTGGGGAAGCTGCGGTCCCAGCTCGAGGCTTTGCCGGCCTCCCACGGGGAGGCGCGTGCTTTGAGGAGGGGGGGCGGCGCCAAGGACGCGCGCCGTGTTTTTTTGGGAAGGGGGGGTGCCCGTTTTGGGATGCAGCCACGGGAAACCAAATGGGAAACCCACGTCATGGTGGTTGAAGCAATAGTTGTTGATCTTTCAATCATCAAACAATGGGGGGGGGGGGTCGAGTTTTCTGATATTTGAGGGAAGGGATGGTGTAGGTGTCGTTTCTAGGTCAGTTTGGTTGAGAATAACTTGACTTCACTTGTTTCAGGGGGAGGATGGGTTTGGGTTTGCTCGGGCTTTCTTGTTTGAAAGTTGGGAGTAGAGGGTGCAGATTGGAGCCAGATGGCTTGGGCTTTGTGTCAAATTGCGTCATAAAAGTACCGCTGTGTCCCCGCGGCCGCTCTTTCTCAGCCCTTCTTTGCCATGGCGGGCGCCTAGCTTCCCAAGGCGGCCCGGAAGCCCGGCTTTGCCTGGGTTCCTTTTTCTTTCCTCTTGGCTGCGGGCAATGTGGGGGTTGATCAATCTTCCATTCAGGGCCCCCCAAAATGACCATGGGGAACTTCCCCGTCTAGTGGGGAAATTCATTTGATTTTTTTGGCTCATCCCATGAAAAGGACCTTTTGATCGACCCTCATGAGAGGTTCGCTTAAAGACTGCTAGTAGTCTATGGTTCACTTGCAAAATTCGGGGGTTGGAACATTTTTGTCATGCCTTGGCGGAACATGTGTTTTTGACATGAGTCACGCCAAGTCTACTGGAATTGGGTGGTGGGCGTTGAAGTTGCCACCCTGTATAACACACCACGAACTTACTGCAAATGGGGCAGTGGTTGAACTGTTGGAGGCGATGATTGAAGAGGACCCGTCTAAGAGTTTGCGCTTACTGTTGCGAGGTTTGTCATAGCACCCGACGTCCATTTTGCAAAATGAGGTGAGGTTCAGTTTAAATATTGAGCACCTTGGAGACATGAGAGTTCCCTGAATTGCCTACAACAATCGGCCTCGCCAATTCTCCCATGTCCTTCGAACACACATATTTTGACTGGCTCATATGGATTTTTCACCCCTGCCACGTGGCAGGGCCTCAGGGAGCTGAACAAAAATGAAGCTGAACCAGCCCCACCCCTCAAAAGGCAAGCACAAGTGGCAATCAGCACGCCAAGCAAGGCCACCTGCAGCCCTTGGCTGCCCATGCTTCTCCATTTGGATCTCTGGCTCGCTCTCATTGTTTCCGCCGTTTTTGCGGAGGGGGGAGGGGGTTCTGGCAAAATCTTGCACCACCTAAGAAACCCTGGAATGATGATTCCCCCGCAAATACCAACAAATTGAATTGCGGTTTCCCATGGTTGCAAAGTGGTGCGAGAAGCGGATTTCGCAACCATCCACAGTATTGGGGACCGCCGCCGCCCCCCCCGCCCCCCCGGGTCTTTTCGACGTCTTCCCGGAGGCTTCTGCCGTAACCATGGCCGCGGAGGTGAGCGAGGTGGTGGTGGAGATCGCGCGGCTGGATGGGTCCGTGCGGCAGGAGGCGCCGGTTTGAGAGTGGTTCCTTTGTATGGAGGGGGTTCCCCCCCAAAAAACACAGACACAAAAACAAACAAACACAGGTTTTTTTTTTTGTTTTTTTTGTTTTTTTTTTTTTTTGCGCATGCTCTTTAGTGTTGAAAAACCAGTTGTCTGTTCAAAGCTACTTGCTGTTCGAAGCCACTTGCTGTTCGTTGCTTTTGTCCATAGTTCTGCATGGGTGAAGCCAACGCTAGTCTTTCTTAGAGGTTTCCATGTATGGGGACGGGGGTGGGGCTGAACCTCACGTGGGGGGAAAATGTGGGGCAAAAGCACCACCCTGGGAGGTGCTGCCTGACACGGAGACGGTGCTGACCCTGAAAGGACGCTTGTCATACGGGCACCTGGCGTGGGCCTCCCCCATTTTGGGGATGTCAGAAAGTGCATTCTTTTTGCCTTGCCCAGGAACTTCAAGGACCCATGTGCCAGGGCCGCCACTTCAAAATGGTTTCTGTGCGATGCGGTTGTAGGGGTGTTATTCCCAGGATGCAGCTTCTTTCGGCACGCCTGATGTGAGGATAGAGGCAATCAACCTGAGGATTGGTGTTTGACCGTGACTCACGTGGATCTTTAAATGAAAGGGAACCGCCCTCAAAACCACCCCAAAATGGAAGAGCCCCAGGTTTAAACTTTGTAGGACTGCTGGCGCAGCGAGACAACTCCTCCACTGCCGACTTCCAGCTCTTGTGCCACAGCACTGTGCTCCGCTGCCACCTCAGAGATGGCGGAGGGCGCAGCGGGCTCGCTCG